TTAAACAAACGTTTTTGAAACAAGGCTTTTTGAGATTTCCGGCGAAAATTTTTTAATGTAATTTTTTCACCTGTAGTTTTTGTGTATATTATATGAGAATTAACAATAGCTGCGTCAAAATAAATAAATAAAAAAAAACTTTTTTAAAAACATGCTTTTGTAAAAAAATCATTCCAAATTCATTGAGTTAAGTAATTATGAAATCTATGTATCATACACAAATATTAAACCAAATTTAAATTACAAAAGAACTTCCAATATAATTTATTAGGGGCTTTGTTGAATAGGGCCCACGCTTTTCTTTTTAGTAAAAAATTAAAGATGTTTAACATTATTTAAAATTGTAGTTAATTTTCGGTTGTTTTCAAAGTAATTGACATTTTAAATAAAATATGCTACAATTGATGGGTAAATTGTTCTTGTAATAAAATTATTTTTTATTTTTTAGTTTACTTTTTTTTTATTTTTTTTTTTAGAAAAGCATGTTTTTAAAAAAGTTTTTTTTTATTTATTTATTTAATTTTTATTACTTTTCAGTCCTATTAAAGGTATTTAATCATTGCTGAATAGAATACTAAATTAATTTTGGAAGATTTGGAAAAAAATGAAATTTTAGTGAAATGACCCCCACATTTGACCCTGTGTAGTGCGACCTGGATGTCCGAGTCCCAATATGATTACAGGATATTGTATTGCCATCTAAGATGAGTGTCTGTGCCAAGTTTCAGCCCTATACGACATCGGAAAGTGGGTTAAATTAATTTTTCAATATTTGAAAAATACCCGTACAAACGTACGTACGTACGTGTTAGCGAGCTAAAGAAAAGCATGTAAAAAAAGAAGCATATGCGATGCCATCACTTGCGACTTTTTCTATATAGGTGATGCATCTTTTTATATTGGTCAAATTTATCGACGTAGTTCATGTTCATATTATAGTCATTAAGTACCTTGGGACAAAAAATTATTGATGTGGTTCCATCTTTAGATTTTCTTTTGACCTCAGTCACATCAGTTGGATTATGGAAGTTGGACAACAAAGTAACTCCTCGTTTGTCTTTTCATTTGACAATTGAAATGTCATACTGGTCGCTCATGTTTCAATCAATGTCACCCATATTCATGTTTTTATCTAACTTTAACTTTAGTAAATATTTTCCACAGTAAAAAAAACCTTTTGATTTCAGATATGCCAAAAGTGGTACACTTGTAAAAAAATTATCGATGTACAAATTATGATTTTTATGCTGTAATGGATTTGTTAAATATTTAACGACTCGTCCTCCAAGATTTGTTTCAAAAGAGTCTTTTATTTTACCAGTGTACAAATCGAAATTCCGAAGATAACCATGTTTATCAGCTAACGACAATACCTTATAGCCTCTTTTTATTGTTTTTTTTTGCTTTAAAGATGATCGCCCTTTGAATTTAATCATAGACTCGTCAACTGCAATTATTTTGTGTGGATAGTAATATTTTTGAAAATTTTCTCGAATTTTTTTTAAAAAAGGTTTAACTCTATACAATTTATCAAAACCTTTTGGCCCCTCTTTGACATAACCAAGTTTCCATTTAAGTGTAAAGATGAGAAGAGCCAACCTAAACGATCAAGAGAACTTATGTATTCATGTAAGTCTAAAGATATAGACCAGTAGTCTCTATATCATGGCAAACGTTTTATACTCATTAAAATATTTATACTTAGGAAATAATTTCTTGTTCCATAACTTCTTGTTTATCAGTAGGAGTATAATTTTGTCCAGTTTTCATTTTTAATTGGTGTGCATACAAATTTGTTTGGTACACAAGTAAATCTAGTATTTCATTTGAAAATAATAATTGAAATGTTGAAAACGGAATGTGGTTATCTTCAGTATTAATCAAACTAGTTGGACCGTCGGCGGACGTAAATTCGGGAAGAGCTTCCTGTAAAATAACATTATTTTTTGACCATATTGCCTATTGGAGCAGTAAATTCAAAATTATTTGATGCTTCATTCTCATTTATATTGGGTTCCAATGTATTTTCGATGATATTGTTTTCTAATTCAGGGACTTTTAGTAATTGATAATTTGGTATCTGATTTATTGGCAGAAATAAGGGGTGACGAATATTAGTATGGTCAGTTTTAAGATGTGTTTGTGTGATACATTTCCTATCGATACGAATGACACCGGATAACTAAATTAGTCATAAACAAGGGTGTAAAATATTAAACGATAGAGATAACAAAACATGGTTTATTAAAAGCAATAAAAAATCTACATTTAAAATGGTGGGTTATTTTTCGTCCTGCTATGCCATAAATGTATATTTTATTTTAGTTGGTTATTTTTCGTCCTTCTATGCTTCAAAGAGTTAAGAGAGCAGGTGATTTTTATTTTTTATATTTGTAATTTTTTAACTACGTTTTACAAAATGTATCGACTGGAAAAAACCCAATTTTCAGCAGTATTAGAATTAATTAATTAACGTGACCGCTGTGTTATTAATTAACCAAAAATATAAAAATCTTAAAACATAAATAATTAGAACATCATAATTATTATTGTTAAATATTCTATAAGGAGTTTTATAGTTCCAAAACAAATGGAGAAACGAAACTCTAGAAATCATTGAATTCATTTTAGTAGGTACACAGATCTTTTAATTTTGGCATTAGTTTTAAAATAAATTTTTTGCAAAAAACAAATTAAATCTAAAATTTGAATGGCTACCTCTATATAACAACATTTTAAAGAGAATTTTTAAAGTATTAAATTTTTTCATCAGATTATCACAGCCTTCATAAATATTATTTAGTGTTTTCAAAATCACAGCCCTCTGCTTTCTAAGATCAACATTACTAAAAATGTAGCTATAAAATGTTTTATTTGCATTTCGAAAAGAAGGAGCCTGAAATATTTTCAATGATTTTTACAAAATTAAGGAACTTATTCTAATTTTGACTGTACTCTGAAACAGTAGTTTTGAAAACAGATGTAGATTTTTCAATACGTAGTGCTTGATGTATTTATTGTTAATCGAAGTACATTTTAATTTTTTTATTTTCGTTTTTAATGTTATTGTAAAAATTAATGAAAACTTAAAAAATTTCAATTTTTTACATAGACGTTATTAATTAACTAAAATTAACTTGAAAATTGTGTCACCTTGTAATTATTGTTATGAAGAATCCAAACGTTTTTGTGCAAAAATAAGGCCTACATGCGTTATAAAAGTTGAAAAAAAATGTAATCCCTTTCTCCTGATTGAATTTATATGTTAACAAATTTAAATTTAAGGTTAAGGTTTTGCGAAAATTGCTTACGCTAGCTATTAATGTAGGCCACTAAACATTTATTAATAATAACCAAAATGTTAGTTTAAATTGACTTTAAAAAATCGGTATTTTCATTTTATTGTTAGTACTATAATAGAAATACTTATGGAATTAAAAAAAATCTTTTAAGTGGCGTTAGGGAAAATAAATTTGTAAAGTACTGTGAATGGAATCCTTGTTTTTACACCGTTACACTTGTATGTGTGGCGTCCTCCTAAGTGTCTACATTTGAGTATTTGAAAATAGTTGAAGAGGCAATCACCCTCATTCCATTTTTTTTTAATGTTGAAAGAAACATACATTTTAAATGTTTATTATACTATTAAGTACTAAAGGTAAGTTTGGAAAAATTGTCTTCATTCCTCTCCTTAGAAAATATTTATGACAACGGCCTACTAGCTATGTTAATTTATTATAGTAATAATTAATGATTCAATTTCATTGTCATATTTGAAGTACCTATATTTTAAAAATGTATTTCAAGGTACAAATAATTGTTAGTAAAAATTAATAAAACTAGTGTACTATGCACGATGTAGGTAATGTCTTATAATTGGATACAACTATTTTCATAAAAAAAAAGTCGAAACAGAAACGTACATAAAAAAATGATTACTTCTATTAACCATGAATTATTTTATGTACTTGTTCTATAAACGGGTATTTATTTGTTCAAGCAAAATAAAATACAAATTTTATAATTATTCTGATACTCAATTTACCTAAATTGCGACCATGCATAATATTAATTAAAAATTACGACAGTAATGTCTATAATATGAACTACTCAGTTGTCAGACATATTTTGCTAATTATTTAAATTCCTTAAGTAATGATGGAATAAATGTCATGGACTAGGTTGGAACTAGGTTGAAAGTAGATTGTTTTACGGCTTGAACCTTGATAAAATATGTATATTTTATTAAATTCACTGATTTAGTTGCATAATATTATACAACACTCTTTTCCAGAGAACTATATTGAGTACATAGTAGGAAATTCGAAAGTCTTATAATGTATTACAATAAAACAGCCCAGTTAACGTTTGTGTTATGTAAAAGAGACCACATAAATAATATTTTCTGTCCAAATCCACACCTTGGTATTAAAAGATTTAGGATATTTTTGAGTAAAAAACAAAAGATTAAAAACATAATGTTATGTTATATAATATTAAATATTCAATAAAAACAAAATAGTCGAGTAGGTATACAAATGTCAAGTAGGTACACATTATGTTATAAGTACGCGTTTATAACAGTATAATTTTTAATAAAACTTGTTTAATAAAATTTTATAACACAATCGTTATTTGGAAAATCAATAGAGTTCAAAGTAAATACTGTAGTCTTCATTTTACAAAGATATTGAAAATTTTCAAATAATTATGCGATTTTTGACAAACACAAACTACAAGTAAATTTTTGGTGAACATATCCACCGTAAATATTCAAATAATGTTAACATTTGAATATAAGTTATATAATAATAATAATAATTACATTATTTTAAATACTGTTGTTTGTAAGGTGTGCTAGTCTGGATACAAGAATAAGGTGTTCAAGTACAGAAGAAGTTCAAGTATACAGTATAAAATATATCGTATGTCTCGTAAACGTTCATACGAGATCGTTAAAAAGAGAAGAAAATAAAAATTATTCGACTCCAACATTTCTAAAAAAAAAAAAAACTCTGTTGTTTGACAACAATTCGAAATGTCGTCTTCAGTCTCTGTTTTGCACTCTGGTTAGGTCCAACGAACGTCGGACTTGCCTGCGGGTTTGACCTTTACGAGTAGGTGGCCGGCCGCTCTGGCTGGACCCTAACGAATACTTTGGTACCGTATTTAATAGCTGCCCCAAATGGGAACTTAACGTTGACCCAAACGGAAAATCGCATATTGTAATTTAACAATGGCCGGAACACCCAAGCCAGCCATCTTTTGGCCAGAAGCACCTCGTGCGTGAACACCTGGATGTTGTACATGCACCGGCTGAACCAAGTGCGCAAAGGAGGTTCGTCGACGCCTTTGGACACGCCGCAGAGGTCCTTGGTGTACCTCATGAAAGCGTGCACGTCCAACACAGGCGACACCGGCTTCAGGCCGTCTAACAGCGATTCCAGCATTCGTTGAAACCCTTTGGGCGGCTGCTTAAGTCCGGGGGCGTACACGTCGTCCAGCACCACGGCACATACGCCGCGAACCTCTTCCAACGTGCCCTGGCACAGGTTGTACCTGTATCGAACAAAAACCAAGTCTTTAGTACACACACAAAGCGAGCATCTAAAATCAGTTCCCCATCCCAAACTGCGGTGAAAAACATATGTAACTCACTTGTCTTGGATGCCAAGCATATAGCCGATGGTTCGCCAAAAGTGGACAATAGCAAATTCGTCTTCTTCTGAGCCTACAATGGCTAATTCCTTCTTCCTGAGCACCATCAGGCCCATGAACCCGAATTGGGTGAGAGCCATGTCTTTTTGCGATACTCGCACTCCCAGGCCGGTTTTTTCGGACAATCTACTGGCAGTGCAGTGGAAACTGTGCACTGTATTCACGGATTTTTGAGATCTGCAACAAGCATGCGTAGGATAATAATTTTATAACGGTGTTCAGACTTTACTTTTGATGATAATCCGTAATACCTATCAAGTATCATTTAGGTATATTACGATATGGAAGTATGGAATAGTTCATCTTTCAATACCTGTAACCTACTGATGAGTAGATACAAAAGTAGCGATGCTGTTAGAAATAATATCAGCTATTAGAGAAAAGTCATTAAGGAAAGTTTGGCAGTTACGCCATATAAAGAAACATTTTTAAATGTATATAGATTGGCATGGCATACATCCATTTATTAAAGGTAAAATAAATATCTTAAAAGGTTTTAAAACTAAAAGTATTTAGAATTATAGTAATACTTCAAAATAATAGACAAACAAGATCACATTGATAATTTGAATCGATGTCACGGGCAATAGCTTACTTGGATTTCAGATCTCCAACGTCGTATCCGTACCACCGGACCATGTGCCTGATGGTGTCCAAGTATCTTCTGAAGGCGCTATACGAATCTGAAGATTTGTTTGTGAGTACGAGCACGTCCAGAATTGTTGGTACGGTCAACACTAAAATCAGACCTATCAGTTTGCCTACGAACATCGAGTAGAAGTTGGCGAAAAAATGTTTTTGAGCTCTGCGAACAACAAATTTCTGTTATAATTTGTACAACCAAATTTAATTCAAAAGACGCATAAATAGCACAATAATATAGTAACAACATATAACAGTAAGTACAATAAATTAATTATTGGTGTCTAATGACTATTTAATGTTTTAGTTGGTGAAATTATCTATTGATATTCGTGATTGTTTTTAATTTGTATGATCAATCAGCGGCATGGTAATTCTTGGTCAATTAAAAAAACAATATTATTTTTTAATTATTAGCTTTAATAATAATTAATTAAACGCCTCATTTGAATTATACTATTGTCCATTGAACAAATTACTTTATAAGTAAAACACGAAATTCTATCATATCATTTCTAACCGCGGACGATGAACATAGTATTGTTTTGAGGTTGAAATGAGTCCCACTACAGTAGCTAACCTTACCTAGTTAAATTACGAGGTCACTGATTTGATGTTACTATTTAATTAAAATGTCAATTACTTTCAGCGGTTATTTAACAAGCTGTTATTCAATTCTTTCGAAAGCTAATTCAGACCAAAGGTCATTAAAATACCAAAATTTGAGTTTTTTCAATAATTTATAAATTAATAGCTACATAAATAATTTGATTAATTTTTTATAATATATGCTTTAAAAAGTGTACAAATTGTTCACGGTTCTGAGAATGAATATGGAAAATACCAATTCTTACAGTAAAATATTAACTATAGTAGGTACTCTATAATATTTATAATTAAACCCATAATCTATATTTTACTATTTACTTGCCTAACATTTACATACGAATTATCGTTAATTGTTATTATTTATTTATTTATTTATTTGTTATTATGTAATAAGATCAATTTTATGCGCCCGATTTTACAAATAAATTAAAAAATAATAAATTGAAAGTTGAAACTTATTATTCATACGTCATAAATCCAATGTACGCCAATTATAAATAAAAGGAAAATTGACAAAACCTATTTTAATCTATTTTAATCACGTCAACTTTTTTTATATTAATTTATTACTGAGCAAATAAATGGACACTAAAGTTTTAGTTTTAAACTGAGATACTGGAAAAATATAGCAATATCAAACCGCTTAACATATATAAGCGGTGTAGCATCCTTTTATATTAACTAAGACTGCACTGATTATTGTTTGTATGTTAAGAAATAGTGAATACAGTATACACACATCGAATATCATTACGAGTATTCTAGGCAACAGCGTGTAATAGGTTAATTTCAGGCATTGATAATAAATAATCGCTTAAACACTTTCTCAAACGGTAAAACTATTCTCTGTTGCGCAAGATCAACGTAAGTTTCACGGCAGCCCGGTAAATTAAGTACAAGATAGAATGTTTACCATCAGTTCAAATATTAGGAGATATGTAAACTGACTCGCAGCTGTTCGTGAACCATCGTATGAAGAGAAAGGCTGTATGGCACAATAAAAAACACTCGGTTCATTAGTACTGTAGCACTGTATGCGAGTGGGAAGGACTATATGAAAATTTCTAAATGGTATCCCAATTATGGTCAGCTGTTCACAATATCATAGTCTGTTCTTTAAACGTATACCGCTTCACAGTATTTATTTAGATACAAAATAGACACTAACACAGAGTATAATATTGTACTAACCATGGCGTATATAAAACAAAAAACCTAAATAGCTGACTCTAGTCACAATCAAAAACCACCACCATTGGCAGGGGTCAAGAAAATGTTTCTGAAGACCATAGCTACTTGAAAACCTATGCCGAAAACTATATACTGCTTAATCAAAACGAAAAACTGGCATTACGCAAATAGGGCAAGTCTACATACCACTATTTTTGCACGATTTTCGGATTTTTATTTAAATAAGCGCTGCCTCGTAGATAAATGTATAAATTAATATTATTGATTAAATGTATTAATGAGCCTTAATAAGAACCTTTTCATTTAATAACACATTAAGCTTGTGAATGTAAAAAATGTTCTACCTATATACATAATTACCCTTCAACTTAAATATAAAAGGTTACTGGTCAAATAATGAGGACTTCTTGCTTTTTAAATGTAAACTATCACTAGTCGAGTACAGATATTATATGTTATACATAATATTGTACAGATACAGGAACGGCGACTGGGGAAACGCACGGTCCGTTTGAAAATAAACAGACATTACGACAGAAGAAGAAAAGGAGTACAATAATAATTATTTTTATTTTGTTTTTTATAGTTACAGGTGCAAGTGAAGGTCAGATAAATTCTATCTTAGTTTGATTATGGTAAATGAATAAAACGAAGACCGGTATGGTCTTAGTAATAAAAATAAAATTCTGTAGGTACTGGTATTATAACCGTTAACATATATTTTAATGGAGATCATTTTTTATTATTATTTACAATCATAATATTATGATCTTGGCGCAATTACGAAATAACAATGTTGGTTAATGTAGCCTAAAAACTTAGAGTTTTGGGTCCGTTTACACAAATTGATTAATGCTCATACATTTTATCAAAATACTCCAATAATATTGTGATTTTTTAATATGATCGATACACTTGAAATAAAACGAACGACGTTGGTTGTGTTTACGCCGATAGCTCATTTAAATAGCCTAAACTAAGTAAAATTTAATATTTATTATACTTTTTAATAAACAGAAAACCCGCAAAAATGAACCTTAATCCTTTGTAATTGGAATATAACAAGGGATATCCTCAACCAGAGAAGTGATAAATGGCGTCCACTCTAAAATCGATTAAGATTAAGTTGTAGGTAGGTACTCGTTAATATTATACAGAATGGCTAATTTGTATTATCTATACGACAGTGCCGCGGCACGGTGTGTTAAAAATGGCATAATTTTATGCATTGTCACACTACCGACAACCAACGTATTGAGGTCCAGGAAAACAGGTCAGTACATCATTAAAACACTAAAAAATAGTCAACAGCAGTCTCCTGTCTCCCGTCTAATGCACGACGAAGGCAGTAAAAGTCGGGCACTAGCCAAGGAGTGTAATGGCGGCCGGTCCTCGTTTATAAAGGTATCCGCGGTCGATAACAACTGGTATCCAACGTTATCACTCATCGGTTATCACTTATCGACATTCTTTTTTTTGGCATACATTATTTAAGATTTTTACATAACGTCACATTGTCTAAATAATGACTTGGCAAATATCAATACTGTCGCGAAAAAAGTAAAAACGGAACCTAACACAGCGCCAGTGGAAACCATAAATATCATTAAGTATACTTATTAAAATTATTATTCTCGATGGTTACGCAATAAAATGCAAACACCTGTGGCCTCAAGAAGCTGTCGTAAACAAGAGTAAGAAAAAATGTATATAGAAGTAGGCGAAAAGATTGCTTAACCGTTTATCGCTCAAGGACCCGGGCTGGGCGTGACGTCCAGTGATGTCTAAAATTATCGCCAGTTGCCTCAGCCACAAGATACCGACTGCGGTACAACGATAATTTCTTTTTTAACGTTTGGTGCTAAATAGTGTCAGAGAGTAAACTGGAGTGATTTAAAATCGATTATTAATTGTATTTTTACCTGACGAACAACTGCTCGTCAAACCATTCGGGTAGGTCCCTGGGCCGTTTTCTTTCTACAGGCACGTTACAGCCTTCTTCCAAAATCGTCCTTACCCGCTGTTTGGCCGTTTCGGTTTCGTCGGGCGACGTCATCACGTTTACTGCTTTTGGGTGGAAAAAAAAGGAAATCAAATTACTTTGAACATCTTCATGGTGCTATTGTACCGGTCACGTAGGTAATAATTTACTCACCGGTGCACTCCATCGGGTCCAAACGCGGACCGTCGTCTCGGTGAAACAAAAAAAAACGTTCTCGAACCCAACGGTCGGGGGGCAAACGTTTTGATAACGGCTGAACAACAGGTAACGGCGAGAGGACCGGTTAGGTATTACGCGTGCGGACGCGTTCCATCACCGCAGTGGAATTCAGCGGTTCTCGGCACCGCGCTCATAGTGCGTTTGCCGCCCCACACGTCTGCGATGTGTTGTTTAGAAAGCGAGTCCGGTAGAAAGTGTGATGAAACACACAAAACCGGTACGGTGAACGTGCGCCAATGCCACAGACGGGTACGGACATCACCATTGCTGCGGAGATACTGTTCTCTATTGTGCGTTTACAGTGTGTTGTTGTTGTTAATATCGTTTCGTACACGTTAGTCACTGGCGGCAGCGCGCCGTGCCAGTTGCCGCCGGTGGCGCTGTTCGCGCGACTGCGGTATTGCAGTGACCGGTGTGTGCGTGCCGTCGCTAAAGGGCCGACGCAGTACGGAGGACAATGCCAAAGGAACGATCGACTGAATTCAAAAGAACGGTCCAGAAAAATGAAAATTACCAAAAACAGTTGACTGCATTCGCTGAAATCGTTACAAAGCTAATTGAATGCGTGTGGCTGTATAAAGGGTTTTTTTTTATTCGAAACTGTTTATTTTATAGAAGGTAAAATAATATGTGATGTGACAAACTCCGCTGTATAGTGTATACTGGTTTCAGTATCCAAAACTACCGCTAGATGTCAGCAGGGTACAGCAATTGTGCTGACAATAAACGGCGGAGTATTAGGATACCTTTATTTTTGGCGTTTACAGTAAAGTCTTAAAATAATTTTAACATTATGCCCTTCTGGCTTCTGCCAGACGCCCATTAAATTGTTAATGAATTGGACCGTCTTACTTCATGTATCAAATACCGATTATTTACATTTACATTTATTAAAAAAAAAATGTGTAGTAACACTTTTTTTAAATTGTTTACAGCAATTAGGTGGTTAAAAGTGACTTTACGGAAATAGAGATAACATCTCCTAAAACCAGAAAATGTTGATCTTCAAAAAGCTAAAGACACGATTCCAAGCACAATAATTCTTATAAAATTATTAATTAGTTGCCTGTTGATATTTTCTTATAAGATTTGGATGCCAATAGACCATATGGGAACTACAATAGCTTTATAGATGAGCATTTTTCAAAAATAATCAAAGAAATTTATTTTAGAAAAAGTTTCTCAAATAATTTACCACATGATGGTAGAAGACTGATAGGTCTGAATGTAGGATAGTTGGCTGAATGTTTAGGGTTGTTTGGTTTGGGTATCATTATTTATATAGAAAATGTCCAGTATTAGAGAAATGTGTGGTAGTTTTAATGTCGCATTATATTGAGAAAGTATGTGACAGTTGTTTTCAAATTTTGTTTGCTATTAAGTCATATCCGAGGATCTGTTTGTTGGTAGTTTGGTACTTCGATTTTTGATTTCGGCAGGAGTGATTGGTAGTAACATGGGGAGAGGACTGTTTAGTAAATTGTACATAATTTCTAGTTGTCCAGGATTTGGATTTAGGTCATCATGAAGCTGAAATTGGGGAGAGGACTGTTTAGTAAATTGTACATAATTTCTAGTTGTCCAGGATTTGGATTTAGGTCATCATGAAGCTGAAATATATTTGTGAGGTGATTACCAAAAAGGACCGCTTTTTCGTCTTCAGATATCGCCATAGAATTATTGGGACAATTTATTGATGGAATAATTTCCTTACTTTGAATGATATTTTTGGTTGTTCTCCAAAGTGAACCATAGTTGGGAGAAAGAGATGTCATATTTTTTCGAAATAGTTGTGACCTGTATTTTAAAAGTTCCTTTTTTACCTATATACTAGGCTATTAAACGTGTTTTTCATTAGGATATCATGATTAGTGTCATATACGACATTTTTCAGCTATTAAACGTTTAATAAAAAGGGGGGATCCATATAATGAGATTTATTGTTATTTGTATTTGCCTTACCAGAAGCTATTGATATAGATTCTTGTATTGTTATAAAATGTTTGGCTATTTTATCAGGATCGTCTTTTGATTTTAGATTAATGTTGAGCTTTTGCTTTTCGCCTATTTTATTTTTAAATGTTTTAAAATTTGTTGGGCCGTTTGCAAGTGAAGCTTTTTGTACGGATGGTACATTATAGCTTAAACAAAGAAGGATAAATATAATTAAATTTATAATTTCGTTCAATTAAAAATGTATTTGAATATTTCTTCAAATAAAAAAAAAAAATAATAAAAATTATTATTTAAAACACATCATTGTAAGATAAATGAGTTTTTATTTAAATTATACTCAATTTTACTATGGCCCCACTGTATAAGTACAAATCTATTCATAGGTAACATTTTCAACTAAAACCAGCTCCAAATTGTATTTTTAAACTTCACCTATGGTATTTTGCTAAATCTTTATACATTACAATAGCATTAATCAGCATGTTTATGTATTTTGATCGCTACATAATATTATAGGGGTGGATGAATGAGTATATAGACAATGATAAAAGTTGGGGACCATTATCTTTAAAAAAAAAAAAAAATTAATAATATACTCCAAAATAATTCGTTTGCTGTCCAGGCTGTAAATTATGCGTTTTAAAGTGGTTTTCTGTTATTATTAATTATTAGCTTCGACACGGAGTTAAGAAGTTATTGTTTTTACAACTATATGTTTTTTTTTTTTTTTTTTGTGCTGTACTCATGATATTTGCTAAAGTCGTGATTTCTTCACGTAGCAAGTCTATAGATTAGAAATCTAAAGATATGAAATTCGTTTTTATAATCGATGAATAAATTAAACAAATCATTTTCCCAGGAAGGGTAGAAACTTTTCTCTTAGTTCGCTTTTTTAGGTGTAGTATTAGGACATATTATGGTCTAAAAATTAAACTTCAGATAGCTTTATAGTGACGCTATAATATATTCAATTTTCTTAAAAATGTGTAGTCAAACTGACTACAGACGGTGTTCGAGAACACCGAAAAAAAAGTGAAAACAATTTTTAGGTTGCTATGACGTGGAACAATTTTAACAGTCATCAGCTGTCTGATAAAAATTTTCATTATGTCATTGATTTGCCATAGCCCATTAATAACAACGAAACGAATCATTAGGAAAAACAGACCTATTCAAAATATAATTGTATGTGTAAGTGCTTTATTAAAAGCAAAATCCTCGGCTACAACAAAATACACTACGACTATTATTTTCAATTATTAACAATTTTAATTAAAATCGGTAGTACTTTAAAACAATATTTTATATAATACAAAACGTCAAAACCGGTATAAATATAATCAAGACAAACATTTAATCTAAACTACATTTTAACCGATTTATTTTACAATTATCTAATTAAATCATAATTAAAAAACAAGTGATAATAATTCCAAAAAACTATTCATCTCTCCGACCCACTGTGCTATCATTAAATTTACCTTATAAATCTTATTAATGAAAAATCTATTTTTGTTTTTTTCACTTGTTAATAATTTTATATTTTTACCACATTTTCGTTTTAGTTGTTTCTTATATCTGTACGACTGTACCTCAGAACCAGACAAATGTAAGTGACATAATGCAAATATTCCAAGAGAGCATAAAAACGGAATAGAATCCTACAAACATAGGTTAGACTTAGCCCTTATAACCCTAATAAATTATATATTAAAGTAAAATTTATAACGGATTTGTTGGTAAGTATTGATCCAAATCAGAAGCCACATGCAAAACTATAATAACATGAAAATCGCCAAAATCGACTTGCTCATCTAGTTCTGAGGTGCATGCTACAGACAAATATCTACATATAATAAAATATTGATATATGCGTATAATAAAAATCATAATATAAAAGTAAATTAGATACCTAATAAGAACTATTACATTTATTAATTACGATTTTATTCTTTTTTAAATTGGTTGAAGATTGGAAATCTTGAGATAAATATAACTTTTCAAAAAACATCATTCGGTTCAATGCTTTTATACAATTTTATTTTTGGTTTTTTGAATTTTTTAAATAATTGTACTCAAATGCTCATTGCCCGTCCACGTTAAACATTTTAATTGAACAAAATTCATACCTAATCATATTCTAATCGTTTTTTTTTTTTTTGTAATATTATTAATTTTTAATCGACTAGTCAATACTTTAAGTAGATTATTCTCAACTTATGATGATGATATACATTGTTACAATAATCGTAAAAAGGTATTAAATCTGCAATCTCATTTTTCATTGTTCAATCTCCAAAAATATAATTACACCATTATAAGTATATTTATTGTCAATAAAAAAATTTGTATTTAATACATTTTGCCATCTATAGACTACAGTTTTGCATCGAGGCGTTTATTTAAAAGTAATTTTATCACTGTCGACTGAAATAATTCCACACTGCACTGTGCTGGCTTCTTTTACTTCTGTCATCGATAAATTTGTTTTTATTTCATACTCCCTTTGCCTAGATTTTGGTTGGTGTTATACAATATTTCACAATTCACATTTAACATTATGTAACGTTCTGGTACTGGCATATTATCTATTACACTATTAGTATAACAACATTATATAGATTTGATAGGTATTAAGCAATTCGTCTCGTGTCGTATTTATTTTTATAATTTGTGTAAATGCTTATCGCGTGTCTCGTGTAAAATATTACTGTATCGCATTTTACGGACATTAAGACTCTTATAAATAAAAATTACGTTAAGCAAACTAATTATTGTTTTTTCTTTGTTAGCATGGAAACTAATAGTCTCTAATTAATATGGAAATTAAAAAAAATAAAATAAATAAACCAAAATATTGAGGAAGTTTTTGTTCAATGATTTAGCTGCGATATTTTATATATATTTAATAGTTTTTTTCCCCTTAATATGTAAGCGCTGCGCCTTACTTATTGACAATATTGTACGTATGGTAATAATAAAAAAAAAAACTGTGTTTTTACAAACCGGTAAACAATTTAATTATATGTAAGTACCTACCTAATTACATTTAAGAGCGCCGTTACAAGGTTTCGTCGAGGTTGCGTCATACAACCATTTTAAGCCGGTCGATGTTTTTTTCTGGTCAGTCTTTAACAATATTTATTATTCGTATGTAGGTACAGAATATTTTCTAGATAGACAAGATGAAATCAGTCATCAGATTAGGTAAAATCTAACTCGCAAACCACAATCAATTACCCATGATAACACTACTTAAGAAATAATAAATTAATATAAGCTACAGATAAAAAACAATGCAATAGTCAATAGGTAGGGCAAAGCGTTCTAACTTAAATGAGTCGTACGTCGGATGACACAATTGTTAAGCTCTTGGATACTAGGAGTGTTAACGTACGACCATGAACCATTTGATTATCACTTACCATTGTCATTTAAAAACAAATCAATAACAATGTACTTAAACAATTATCAATGAAACCGGTCGCCCAGTTAAGTGGCATCACCATAGTACCAAGCAAAAAAAAAAAGTTTTAATTATATGCTACAAGTATAATATCCACTTTCATTTTTTATTTAGGTACTGTAAAATTGATTTTGCGTTTTTTGTTGTAATAACATTTTTATAGTTTCTTATAAACATTTTTAACCCTTAAAAAAATCCCTACAGCTACAGATTAAAGTACAACATTGAGTTTGAAGTCTTAATATTACTTAGTATAAAAGCAAAAATGTACTGAACTTTTTTTAAGTTTTGGACTTAAGTTGTCAATTAAAGAATTATAACAGTTTACACTGACGTACAACACACAACATTAAACACAAATTATTTATTTATGTAAAAACAATTATTAGATAAAATAATCGCAATTGACGATCGATAAAGTTAATATCTAAAAATGCAGTTCACGCATTGCACATATTTATACTATATATGACATGGGTAAGAACCGAGTACTTGGTACATAATATAATCTCATACGTATAATCTAAAAGCGTAATGTTATTATGTACAAATTAAAACATAAATGGTAACGTCAATCATTTCTGATTTGTATGAGAACGTAAAAAAACGTTTTTTTTCGTAAATAGTTACAACAAAATATATTTATAACAATATTAATAAAATATTGGTAAACATTACTATAAAATGTCACGTCGGGCAATCAAATACTTATGATTTTTTGTTTACGTTAATATATTGTGCTCTTACATTTATATAATATGTATAATGATTAAACAAGATTTTGAATAGTGTTTATATTAACTGATCGTTGACTACATAATTAAACTCTAGACACAATCAAGCGAACCATACTTTGAAAATGTTTACAACAATTTTTCTTGATACTAAAATACTGTCAAGTAGTATATACGTTTATCATATTATATGTCATTTAATTAAAATGATTTTTCGCTTCCGAGGTTAAATAGGGCACCTTGAAAAACACTTTAGTGCCGAATTTCAGGGCAGCAGCCAGGGGGAAATTGTCGTTGAGCCACACGGATATCCTGAGCTGGTAGTTCATGATCGGTCGGAACAACCAGGCCAACCACCATTTGGTGAGCAACACTCCGCTTATGAACATTTGTATGTTGAATATCCACCGACTGTGCGAGTTGGTCAGCCGTTGTTCCGGAAGCCCGTAAATCCGACTAATGAATTTCATGAACGCTTCCAAGTCGATCAGGAACGACAAGGGTTTCATGCCATCTAAAAGGGCACCGACCATGTGATTAAATTGGCTGGGGGGATTTTTCAAGCAAGGCACGTAAACATCGGTCATTACAGCGGCACAAAGACTGCGCACCTCTTCCAAACTACCTCGGCACAAGTTATACCTGAAATGTATAGCAGTCTAAAACAAGTTATCAAAACGATACAAAATAGTTTGAAAATAGAAAAATATTATTATCATTCAGAGCGATAAAATTATTCTTAAAACCCAATTTTCGATGAGAACCTGTAGACGGAAAATATGATAAAATATTAAATAAAATCATTGTAATAAAAACAGTATTGTGTATTGTAAACGTTTTATTATAATTTGGTTAAATACGTCATAAGTAAATTCTGGATACCTTTTCTTTTATTTTCAAACCTTATGTCTGAAAACTAAGCTAAAAAAAATACGAACTAGTAATAAAGTTTCCCTTTTACAATCTACTCCCACCATAGAAAACTTAGGGATTTCGAGGAGGGCTATAAATACGTAGTTATAATAAACAATTAAAAAGCTATTGAAATGGAAGGATATAGTAACTCGATTAGAGGTTTAAATGAGTAAAGTTTTTAAAACGTATTTAAAATTTGTGCTTTGTAAGTAAACTGTCACTTACTCTTCATGGATTCCCAGTAGATGACCCAAAGTCCTCCACATATGTACGATGCCCATTTCGTCTTCGTCGGTACACACAATAGCCAATTCTTTTTTCTTCAGCAATATCAGTCCCATGAAACCGAATTGCGTTAGAGCCATGTCCTTTTGGGTTATCCGAAGCCCGAATTTCGAGGACGACTTGGCGGCGGCACAGTGTAACCCGCTAACGATGGACAACGCCTTTTGAGACCTAATGTAAATACAATATTAAATAGCACTAAGTTGTACAGTTACTAAAGCTAATTCTCAACACTTTGTGAACGCACCTAGGAAACGCTTAAAGAATCATACTTAGAAAAAATGTTAACTACGGTCATTACTAAACGTTACTCATTGTCAGTATATTATTAAGTATACCGTATACATCAATTATATCGTATCCGTAAAGTTAGTATCTAATTTAGTAACCTTTATAAGAAGATTGTCGATTCGCATTTATCTAATAAAACCCTTTCAGTGAGAGTTATCAAAATTATTGATCTGGTTGTGCTTAAGCGAATATGATCGTACTTACTTGGATTCCATGTCTTTCAGGTCGTATTTGTACCAACCTAACACGTGCCTGATGGTGTCCGAGTACCTCCTGTAAGCCGTGTACGGTTCGGACGATTTATTAGTGTGTACCAGTACTTCCAGAATAGTGGGTATAGATAACACCGATACCAAGCCGATAAAACCCGCCAAGAACGTAGTGTAAAAATTCGCACTGATACATTTTTGTCCTCTGAAACAAACCACCCACAGCAGTTATAAACACGCTCATGTGTAAGCATAAAGGTGGTCTTTGATCATAGATATGTTGACTATAATTCAGATAAAAATATTGTTTAACTAAAAAAAAACTAAAAATGTGAAAAAATTGTTTAAAACTCATCATTTTCTTTGGAATAACTATTTATAGAATACCGAAATTCATTTTGCACTTGTCGGAGGCCCTAATGACTTCTGTTATAAACATTAAAAAATTAATAAAATATTAAAATCTAAGCAATAGATCCGAAGATTTATCATGATTGAAAGTGATAAAATCATTTTCAAAAAATGCAGGTCGATACATGATGAATACCAATTAAAAATGTCGACAGTTATTGTGTGCAATATTAAATATGAATGTAATTAAGTAATATTTGTCTCGTCTTAAAGATGACATCTTTGTCAAATGATTAAAACGTGATTCAAGACACACAAATATTAAAACACGTCATAGAACGACTAACTTTCTCAGTTTAGCATAGATATTAAAATATTTGCTTATCAATTTTAGAATATAGTTAACCATATAAATTTAGGCTAAGTACTTTAATAATCACTAGTACAATTTAAACAATCAATAGTAAGCCAACACCTAAAACAAAACAATTACCTATGTATTACAATATAACAAATTTGTTTACGGAATTTTTTAATGCGGCAGTTACTGGAATTATGACTACTAGTGGATTGGAAGAAGTCGTTTAAAAATAAAACTACAGAGATAATGATAACGAATAAGATATAGACTTGTTCAGATGTTTAGCAGCCGCAGTAACCGCAAATTGTATGCCACTGTATAGTGTATACTTTACCTGAGGAAAAGTTCTTCATCAAACCATTCTGGTAATTCGGTAATTCGGTTTTTGTCCACCTCCACGTTACATCCTTTTTCTAAAAGCAACAATAGCTGTTCTTTTACCACTTTCTTGTGTTTCTCACTTGTCGAGTTGTTGGACACTGAAAACCACAAGTATTGGAGCTTATAATATGTAGTATATATTATTGAACAAAAATAACAAATAAAGGTAAAAATCAAAAACCCTTAACTTAGCGCTGTATCTTTTTGAATACATCGTTGTAAACGTTTACTTAGATAACGATGTTAAATATTTTTCGTTGATTGTACACATTGTTTAATATATAAAAAATTATGATAGAAAAATAACAACCACTTTGTGATTAGTTTTCCTGCAATTTATCGTATAAGGTATCGTATGATTTTGTGTCATTGATATCGTTGATAAATACTCGATTTTAAGTCGATGAGAAAATAGACTTAACTCCACGATACCATTCAATTTTACGTTAATCGATTCAGATATGTCTTATTAATATAATAGTTCTAATATTTTAATTATATTGGTTCAATTTCGTTATTTTAATCGTATATTAAAAATATGTATCCAAAAAAATACATTGCAAAAAGACCATGTTTCTGTTTATATTTTAAGTGTATCCAAAAAGATTCATTGCTAAAAGACCTTGTTTCTGTTAAAATGCAACAAGGCAATTGCTGTGATCATTTTATGTAGTTTTAAATACAATTCACAATCATTTGATTTTCAAATATAGTAAAACTGAACAATAAGTCAACTACCTAACCAATTATAAAATTATAATTATTCTTGATAAATATGTTCTCGGATGTATTGCGACGACAAATATAGATTTAATATAAATAAAAACACAGAAATCAAATTATTAAAAAACCTATACGTGCTTATAAGTCATATTTATTTATTTCTTAAAACACACGCCCGATGGATTTGAGTACAGTTATATATTATAATACACATTTGACACATAAGACTTAATAATTACAATAATTATAAGTAATTAAATTAAGTAACCATAATATTAAACTATAAATAACAATAGGTGATAAAACCGTTAGCATATTGACAATTAATACAATACAGATAATTAAAACAGTACTGTAACGGTTCGCAACCTTGCCTGACAGGAATAAAAAATGTCCATGATATTATCTAGATGGTTGCAAGAGACCAAAGCTCTGATAATGGATAAAAAAAGTCATATAGTGACCTGTGTTTTGCTATAGCAAATGTTTGCCGGGTTCTGGAATTAAATGAAGGAACTGATACACCAATTAGGCCAAGAAGGAAACTATCGCTGATTGATCCATTTAAGATTAATGAATAAAAATCACATCTAAGTATGTACGACTCAAACAATTGATACGGATTCTATAAAATTGAACCATATTCCATAATTGGGTGAACTAGAGAAAAGTATAGAGTTTTTAATGACAAAATGTTACTAAAATCTTGTGTGTTTCTAATTATAAAACCGAGAAGCCGTGATGCTTTCTGTAACATGGCTTGAATATGTGTTGAAAAAAAGAGAGAACTTGTAAAAATAATACCAAGGACTTTGATAGAATCTACTCTAGGTAAACAATAGTTGTTATCAGTGCAGTAATGCAAACATAATTTTATTATTTTGGTATTTTTCATCAGTTTTTTTCATTTTTTGATTTGTGACTAGATTTTAAAGTATATTATGTAGCAGTAAGAAGTATGTATAGAGTATTTTTGAAGTTAAAGGTAATACGGAATATTTCGAACAAGTAAATTAAAAATTGTTTTTTTCATGGAATCAAGGACATTCAAATACATATAATTAAAAAGAAAATTTTGTACCTACATTATTCTTAAAAGGAAATTCCGCTTATTAAAACTGGATATGAAAATAATTATTATGTTCGAACACTTTTCTCTAAATTCAATATTGACTGAGTTCAGAGAATTCAATTTTTAGGACGGGAGGAAGGGTTAAGTGTATAAATACTTGTATTTGCATGTATTACCCAAACGCACTTCACCTTCCATCCTATATTTTTCCAAAAAATATTATGAATCAAAAAGAGTGTAGTTAGGTGTGTCAGAATAAAAAAAAATATATAATTTTGAACTTGAGTAAGCATAACAATTTAATAAAATTTATAAAATATTGAAATTGTTTTTCAATTTTTAGCTATTTTAAAATTTAGAAAAAAATAGTTTAAGGAGATTATGTGAAAAAACACTTAAATTACAATAATTCAGTAAAAATTACATTTTGATATCATAAATATTCATTAAGTACCGTGGTCGTGAACTTAAGGTGTTTTTACAATAAATTTACAAAATAATAGCATCGCCTAAGGCCAAACATTTTTTTTAAATTTTTTTCTTCACTTTTTCGATTTTATGGAACTATTTGCATAGGATATATAAGTTTGAGGCAATTAGAAAATCCACTCGCACACACATCAGGTGATTTGGCATGGAATGACCCTTTTATTTTTTTAGCAGGTCACCAAATGCTGATGCTGTGTATGCAATTTGTATGCTTACTTTTAACACTACGCTACCTATATAATAATGTTACCATCAACAATAATATTATCGGTAAATATTTTTAAAATATTAGGATTTATTGATAAGGACCGACACCGAAGACAGTAAGAAATAAAATACAATTTATAAACATTTTCTATAAGTCAAATATAGAAAATGTGTACAGTGTAATGTAATTTCAAACTAAACAAGTTTTTGTTATTATTGTCTATATCACTGTAATCAATGATGAATGGTGGAATATCCACTAATAAATGAAATAACGGCTCGATTCGTAAGGCAAGTACTATAAATTATCGTTTTGGCATTGATGTTAAAATAGATGTAGAACAAATTAAACTTTTACTAATTAATTTAAAAAAAATACTTTCTTAATTTCGCACTGTGTTGAAAAAAATCATACAGCAATAATTATTAGTACATACTTTTAAAGTGAAAATATACTTTTACTAGTCAAAACTTAAACAAGTGTAAACAAAATTGTTTATATTAAATGCATAAAACAGCATAGTTTTATAATAAAATTATAAGTTTTTTTTGCATTGCCTAACTCGGACAGTGAAATAAAACATTTATACTGTTTAGCCTACCTCAATATTGTATGTATAATATATTTACAACTCTCTATTTTTAGTAATGATTGTGATTTGTGAATTTCACATGGCAAATTAAACCGCCTAATAAGTATACTACAATAACTGTAGATAATTTTGAATTTTAACAGTAACAAATCATATCTAGGTAGTCCAGTATGCATATTTTTCACTGGTCACTTCAATTTGGTTATAAATTATTTTCTATTGTAAGAGAATTCCTTTTAGGTGGCCCCGAAAAATAAAATACACACAGTATAGTTCAATCTAATTGTAACTTACTTTACGTTAATAATAATAATGCTTACTTGTAGTCGAGTCGTTTTCCACAACCGGCTGCAAATCTACCGAGCACGCTACTGACGGAGCACAAACTAGCAAACTGACAATATCTGAATAGTGGCTAGTGCGCGGTGTGGCAAACGTGCAACGTCTGCCCCATCCGATGGCATTGACCGTGGTTGAACGCGTGCCATTCGACCACGTGTATGTGTCCATCAGTCAACTGACATATCCAAAAACAATATAACAAAACTTAAAACAAATACTTATACTTTATCGTCACCATTATATCGTGTGTATCGACGATGCTTACTCTAGTCTTAGACAGAGTTGTAGTTACGAGTATATGTGCAAGAACTGGTATAACAAAATCCACGTATAAAATTTATAATCATTACACATATAACTTCGAAAAGTATAAAATTATATTTATTATTAGCTAAGTAAATTTGTCACTATATGCTTAGGTAAAATTCATGAATCATGATATAAGTATGATAGTTATTATATTTATACTTATATTTAACTATACAAAATTGTGTGTTGGATGCAAAAATTTTTTAAAAATGATTAGTTGGATAAAACTTTTAATAAAGGTCTTTGGCACTTCACATAGTAGTTATTTATTGAGTGATGTTCGAATAATAATTTTGCAAGTCTCTCAATCGATTCTAATAATAAAAATAAAAAATGTTCTAGGTAGTCCGTCCTTACTATCTCAACTCCGACCTTTGCTGTTCAAGAAGTTTACGTCATTAAGAGTATATACGTTTTCTTTACTCTTGTGTATACATTTTACCATAGGAACAAGGACATTGTAAAAAAAAAAAAAGATAAGTTAATGTGTTATAACTCTTCTTTCAAATTAAACAAATAAAATTAGGGGTATTTCATGTCGTTTTACAGTTACATGGCAGTCTTTTTTTTTTTTTATTACTGAATATTAAGCCTCGGAACAAAGGCAATTGATGGACGAGTTTATACAATTATAAATTTAATCATTTTTTAAATGTTAATAATACTTATATAATACTTGAACATTGATAAGGATGTAGAAGGGTAATTATCAGACAATAGTATTATTATTCATGAATTATAAAAAAACAATAGGTAAGTAATATAGGTAAATAACCTTGAGAACTAGAAGTCAATAATCACTCAACAACAGTCATTAGACCAAAAACTGCGCAATTGAATAAAATGATATTATATAAACAAAAAACTGATAAAATCTTATAAAAATCATGTAATGTAAGATTTTATAAAGCTTTAGAAGTTTTAAAAGCTCGAATTATGGGCTAGGACATTTTGGCAAACCAACTCGGTAAGTTGTTTTAACTAATTTAATTACTAAGGGCAAAACAAATGTTTGTGTAGAAAAGGGGATTAAAGAAATTTAAAGCCGGCATACCTTATTATAAAATAACCATTTATTAAAACTTTTTCAATGTAAATATTTTGTATAGGATTAGTATGAATTTTTTAACTATTTTATGGGTAGAAAAAAAATATGAATTGAGTTTTAGAATACTAACTACTAATTAGGTATTCTAAAACCCTGGTTTGATGGTGAATTCATATAAATTCATACATCATTGGACAATCAAAACATATTTAATAGGATTTTAAATATATCTATGGCTGGATAACATTTAAAGGATTTTTAAAAGAATATTTTTGAGACATTTTTTTGTATTAAAATTCAAAATATATATTTTGTCTTTAATGATATAAAATTATAGATTTAAAAGAATATTAAGGATACAATACTGCTGGTTTAACAATGATGCTTTTTTTGTGGTTAAATTATACTCGTATATCTTGGTTTTTTACGGATACGTAGCTTAAGAATATAATTTTATACGATAACATATTTTAAGATCAAAAAAATGTATTATAAGGATATTTATTTTAACGATAGTTGATATACTCTTTTAGGATAATTAAATATTTAAAAAATAAATTATGTGTTCTGTCTATACAAAGTATACTTTAAAATTTGTTCTCCTTCGTAAATAAAACCATAGAAGTTTTTAAAATATTCATTTGTACTTATAATAATTCCATACTAAATATTTATAAAAAAAATTGTATAGTCCGCGTGAAGATAGCTGGATAAATGTACGTACGGTTATAACGAGCACCCAGTGCCGAAAAGCCCATACCACCAGATTAGAGGTAATAACTGGTTATGATTACACAATAGTAGTATATTCCATGAAAATTACAATTAAAAAAAATCCCACTACTATATCCGTTCGAAAAAGCACACAAATATAACCTTTCGTATGTCTTAAGTAATACCTAAAAAACTGAATGAAATTTCTTACAAAATAACATTTGAAATAATAAAATAAAAATGACTGGTCAAAATTTATTTTTTAATAAACAAAAGCTGTAGTTAATGATTTTAAACAAATACCACACAAACTTCAGTTAAAAATTCTACCTAAATTTCATTCAAGATTTAATTAAAAGTTTAAGTTTAATCATGTCGTAAGTATGATTCGTTCATACAACTTACATTAGTATGTGTTAAATCAACTTTATTGGAGTACTTGATTTGATTTACAGGTCGTTGAATAAGTTAAAAGACATTTTTAAAATGTATCCTCGAAAGAATTACATTGACAAAGCATTAGCCGTTTTGACTAGTGGGGGTGATTCACAAGGTACAGCATTGCTGACAATAAATTAAATATAATTTATCACAGCGGCGATTCTTTTTTAATGTATAACTTGTAGGAATGAACGCCGCCGTCAGAGCTGTTGTAAGAGTATGTTTACAGTTCGGAATTAATGTTTATCTTGTGAAAGAAGGATATTCTGGACTAATCAAAGGCGAAGAGCTAATACAAAAAGCTACGTGGTATGACGTGTCATTCATACTTGGACAGGTACGGTATGAAAAAATATTTCAGGGATTGATAAATTAACATAACACATTTGATATTGCCGTGACTTATGTTACTCGGTGTAATCACAGGGTGGAACTTCGATCGGCACTAAAAGATGCATGGAATTCAAAACAAAAGAAGGAAGACTAAAGGCGGTGAAAAACATGATAACTCTGGGTATCTCCAATTTGGTAGTAATCGGAGGCGACGGTTCTTTAACAGGTGCTCATATTTTTCGACAGGAATGGCCAAATATTATCAAGGAACTACGCGAAAAAAGTACCTACAGTACCATATTATATTATTGCGCAATCATTTGTTTGTTATCGAAATGCCTTTAGATGAAATCAGCCAAGAGTCATCAGTGAAATATAGCCATTTGAATTTAGTCGGTATAGTAGGATCCATCGATAACGATTTTTCCGGCACCGATATGACCATCGGTGCTGATACAGCTCTGCACCGGATCCTCGAAGCCGTGGACGCCATTACATCCACCGCTTCGTCCCACAAAAGGACTTTCATTATGGAAGTTATGGGCCGAACTTGTGGGTAAAGCTCACAGATTAATAAATGTGACTATTATAATATTTTATGCTGATTCAGATATTAGTTTAATAGAAACCTATTAATGTCTAACCGTTCATTAAACCTTTTATGGACGATTGCGTAACCCGGCATATATGTGTATACTATATTCTCTAGTCATTAAATATAAGTCAGTACTATATTCTCTCATTCTCTCATCATTTTAGAAATCCATATCTACTAGAACTAAATCTGTTCGGAAACGTGTTTATATTTTAGATATTTGGCTATTAAAAGCGCACTAATGTGTGAAGCTGACTACTTGTTCATCAGAGAATGGCCACAAACTATGGATTGGCCAGAAAGACTTTGTAATTCCGTAAACGAGGTAAGTAAAAGTTTGAAATTCATTTGTCTTCTAAGTACGGAATGGCATACATTCCGTACTTAGAAGCATCGCAGTAATTTTATTTTATAAATAATTCAAAAATTGGTAAAAGTACCCTAATTTAAAAAAACAATTGAGACATAAAACATAATACGCACTTTTAAAATTTAGTTATCAAATACAACATTAAAACACATTTTTCCCTAACAACCGGAGATGCTAACTTAGTATTTTCCGGTTAAGTGTTATGTAGGTTGATTGTTTGATTGAAAATCAAATGATAATAACAGTATCGGAAAAAATGTTTTTAGTGTAATTTTTTATAATTTTAAGCCACTTTATATCATGAATTCAACAAAAGGAAATCAATTAAACAGACTTTTTATACAAATTGGATAAATCCTAGTTAGGCAATTTCCTTATATATTGAAATTGTAAGCGTTAAAATTGATTAGCGTTTAAGAATTATCTTTTAACAATAATTGGATTAACTGTAGTTCGCACCCCTTAATCAAAAATATATACTCAGTAAGTAAGTTATTTTAGTTGATCGTTTATCAAACCAGATTCTACAAACAAAGCTGCATAAACTATTTATCATTTCTTTACTACTCTTCAATAAATGGCATTTAGGTATTTTTTGTTTTATCACATAACATGACATAACAATAGTTTTCGATACTTCTGAAAAAACTTTCTTTTCGAGTTATAAAAGTTTTAAACTAGGTGTGTGATATAAAGAGTAAATTTGGTTTCATTGTCTATAGGCAAGGAATTTGGGTAAAAGACTGAACATAATTATAGTTTCCGAAGGAGCAATTGATGAAAAGGGTAATGCTATAACTTCGGAAGACGTTAAGACGGTTTTAGTAGATCGACTACAACAGGATGCCAAAGTGACCGTTTTGGGACACGTGCAAAGAGGAGGAAATCCTTCGGCATTTGATCGAGTTTTGGTATAATTTCTATTTAGTTAGATACATTTAAGTACGTTTCAATGTTTTAATTATTAAGGCTACGCGAATGGGCGCACATGCTGTATTTTACATATTGGAAGCCACAAATACTTCAGAATCAGTAGTTGTGTGTCTTAGATCTAATAAAATTGTCAAGCTATCATTAATGGAATGCGTTGAGAATACGTTAGAAGTAGGCAAGGCAATTGAACGAAAGGATTTTAAAACTGCTTTAGAGCTCCGTGGTCGGTAAGAAAATAGGAATAATATTAAATTTATCCTAGACCTTAGTTTATTGTGGTACCCTTAATATTTTGCACAATTATCGTAAATTACATTAAATTACATTTTTCGTTATATATTTATATCGACATTCTTATTCGAATTTTCCATATTTTAATGTTTTCAACGTTATTTTTACATGCTATTCTTTAACTCGCTAACAAGTACGTACGTACGTTTGTACTGGTATTTTTCCAATCTTGCAAAATTAATTTAACCCACTTCCCGATGTCGTAGAGGGCTGAAACTTGGCACAGATACTCATCTTGGGCGACAATACAATATCCTGTAATCATATTGGGACTCGGACATCTAGGTCGCCCTACACAGGGTCATATGTGGGGGTCATTTCACTATAATTTCATGTTTTTTCAAATCTCCTAAAATGAATTTAGCCCACTTCCTGATATCGTAGAAGGCTGAAATTTTACCCAGACACTCATTTTGGATGACAATTGACAACACAATATCCTTTAATAATAATGAGACCCGAACATACAGGTCACAAATGGGAGGTAGGTACAAACTACAAAATGTGGGTCATTTCACTAAAATTTCATGTTTTTTTTTAAATCGTCCAAAATGAATTTAGTGAATTGATCAATTATTAAGTATCTACAATAGGACTAAAAATTAAAAAATTAAATAAATAAATTAAAAAAAACTTTTTAAAAACAAATTTTTTAAAAAATTGTAAAAAAGTTAACTAAAAATTAAAAAAACATTTTACTACAAGAACAATTTACCAATCAATTATATGACATTTTATTTAAAATATCAATTACTTTGAAAACAACCGAAAATTAACTACAGTTTTATATAATGTTAAACATATTCAATTTTTGACTAAAAAGAAAAGCGTGGGCCCTGTTCAACAAAGTCCAAATTCATTATGAAATGTTTATATCACACACAAATATTGAACCAAATTTAAATTACAAAAGAACTTACAATATAAAAGGAGGTCCCACGCTTTTCCTTTTAGACAAAAATTAAAAATGTTTAACTTTATTTAAAATTGTAGTTAATTTTGGGTTGTTTTCAAAGTAATTGACATTTTAAATAAAATGTGCTATAATGTGCAATAAAATGATTGGTAAATTGTTCACTTCGTATACTTAATATTTTAGCTTTGAACTAAAACTGAAAAGTATATTACATTTTACAATAATTTTAGAACTAGACCGATTTCTTCGAGTAATTCCTTATCGACCACAAAACGTATGTGATTGGTCTTTATACTTATGAGGATAAATGTAAAAAAATGTCTCTCCTTCACCCTTATTATCAGCCAAAACAAAAAAAATTGATGTTGTTTCATGTATTACCATTGAGTTGAGAAAAATGGTCGGATCGAGTCGAAATTGTTTTCGAATATTTATTAGGAGGTCTTTATCCAATAATATTATTAAACCTAAATTTTGTTAATTTCTAGGACTGTTTTAGGACATAAGAGCTGAAAATGAATCAGAAGCTTTTTTTATCTTCATCAATAGATTATAGATAATATTATACTTTATTTACTCTAATTAATAGTTTACATAATTAATTTAATGATGTTATGCACTTAGAGGATTCAAACAAAATCTCGATACGTACAAAAATATAATAGGAATATCTTTCTGTCAAGAAAATGCCAATGTATGTAAAATTGTTAGGCACACTTATGCTAAACTCTAACAGTTACGATATTTTTACAGGGAAAAATCACTCTCATATTGAACGTAGGAGGTTCTAGTAACGGAATTAACGCATTGACCTATTCCATAGTCCGCAACACAATAGCGTCTGGTAATCGAGTATTTGGATCCAAATTTGGTATCGAAGGATTTATCGAAGGAGAGGTAACTGATAATATTATACAAGTATGTATAACAAACATATATTTTTAAACAATGCGAAAAATAATAGGTTGTTGAGTTATTTTGGGCCAGTGTAATTGGATGGTTAGACCGCGGAGGTGTTAAATTGGGAATAACTAGAATAATACCAGACGACCGTATGTTGGAAATAATGGCGGAGAAAATGGCACTCTTCAAAATAGGTTCATGTATTCTTGCTGGAGGACATGAAGTGATTATATTTCCATAATAATTTAATCTTATTTTAATCCTATAGCCTTCATATATTTTATATAGACTATAATTCAGTAAATCATACTTTTTATAATTGATAAATGTAAATAATTTGTTTATATTATATTAATTATTAATTAAACATCTCATGATAGCAGCATTGCCATCATAATAAGTTAAAACAAAATTAGGCAAATATTATAAATACTCTAAAAAAAACTTAAGCATTACTTATGATTTTATATACTCAAGAAATACAATGATGAAATATTTAAATAAACCCGTTACCAGAAAAATAATACTCTGTAGTGTTTTAATAACACTTTACGTATTTCGGCAGCAATGTTACCATCATCAGTGCATACAACAGACTGAGACCGATTACGGGCAAACACCTATCTACCTATCCTACCTAAGGATATATATCATATATATCCTTATACATCGTTGTATATACCTACACAACCTATACAACGTATAGCTATACAACGTAGCCATACCGGAAATTATCATCATGAACAAGTGTTTTTATGAATTTATAAAAAAGATTTTGTAATGGACTCAAGTCCCAGTTTTAACAAATTGTTCCTATTTACAACATAGCTACATCACGCCCAACACGATATAGAGTATTATTTTTGTGGTTAAGGGCTTATTTAAATATTTTATTTCTTTCTGTAAATACTAATTATTTCTACTTGAATATAGACATCATAATATTATTTTATATTTTTTGTCAATCTGCAGGCTCTACATACAGCAATAGCAATGTATGAAAACCGATCGAAGTATGACGCATTTTGTATACCAATTGTAGTCATACCAGTTACTTATAGTAATAATTTACCTGGGACTGATTTTTCGTTAGGAGCAGACACAGCTCTAAATCAAGTTATTAAGGTATACGTATAATATTATAAACATGTTTCAGATTACAATAGTTTTACTAGCCAGCTTTACAATGAAACATCTATACGCATCATTATGTTTGATTTTAAATTATACAGTAAAGCCAGCATATTGTTAAAAACTGCAAGAGTTGACGTGCATTCGAGGGGATAAATATAGGTGTGCTGACAAGGGCGGATCTTGGATATTTTGATAGGAGGGGCACATATAAATTGTATAATTTGAATTATAATTAATAATACATGCCATCTTTTTTAAACAATATTGGTAATATATTTAATATAATGTTGATTACATAATATCACACACCAAAATAATAATTTATACCTAGGTAAGTTATTATACATGTGGTCATTAATAAGAAAAAATATGTTTATAGATTCTCATACTTTATAGTCTATTATAGATCGAATTGAAGTCTTCGTTTATGTTTTTTTTAGCAAACATGTCTAGTACTTCTTCTGGTTTTACTTGAATATATTTATTTATAAGTAACATTGCTAAGCCGTTAAGTCTTTCCTGGCCCATTGTCGATGGTAGGTAAGTTTTAATCCTTTTAAAAGAACTGAATGACTTTTTAGCACTTGCTGTTGTGATACGTATGACACTAAGAATTGTTAAAAGGAATTTGATGTTAGGGAACATCTATTTAAAAGCTTCCGTTGAAGAATCAACATTTTCTGACTTATTTTCCAAAATTCTTTCTATAAATTTAACTCTCCGCATAGTGCTTCAATGCTACGAGGTAAATCTGCTTCATATGTCTGAGCCGCATTCAGTATTTTATCGTCTGGAGTTTCATAGGCAAAAAAATATTTAGGAATGAATAATTTCAAATTAGAAATATCTGAATCATTATTTTCATGAAAATGTGAATTTAATTCTGATATAAGATAATCCAAAAAAGGTAAAAAATAGTTAACGTGGTAGAATTCAGATAAGTCAGTTGATTGCGGCTGAGCGTTTGCACGATTACATTGTGTTTTTGTTACTCTTGGAATCCTTATATCATCGTCCATTTTTACTGCAATTATTCTTGTTTACCTAGAAGTTATGACTTATGAAATATTCTAAATTTAGCCCTTTTAAATTCACCTTAACTGTTTAAATAATTTTAATAAAATCAAGATGTTATTAAAACATCATCTCAGCTTCGCATCAAAGCTAAAATAAATTATTAAAATTCATAAAATTATTTTTAATGTAAATAGGATTGTTATATGCATTACGCCACCACCGATATTTTCTTAGGTCAGGTAATTGTATATTAAAATGCTCTGTAAAGGAATAATACTTTATGTTCACGAAGTAATTTTCATAACCAACAAACCATAGCGTGCATAAAATAATGTATAACATAATATAAAATATGTATTCATATAAAAATTTTAATAAGAAATAAAAATATATAAACATAAGTTAATAATATTCAATAATATATAGTATACAATATTATTTCTTAGTGAGAAAAGTGATGATTTTTATTGATTCACTTGGTTGTACAATACATTTAATATGATAATGTTTTTTAGGCTAAGGATCACCCGAAAACTAGTTAATATTTTTTGCGTCACGCTAAATCCTTTATTTGTTTGATCTTTCAGTCTAAAATTGTATTTATCACTGTTCTTAAATTATACTGTTCTTTCTAAAAGTCGTAAACACGTTTTCTCAATCACAGTAATATAATATCTACACTGCAATTTGCCACCAACGTCAACGTGTCTTATTAATAGTTTAATAAGGCGTACTTAAAAATATTTATGTACTGACAAAAATAGGGACTACAAAATGTTTGTAAATAGTTGACTAAGTACAGAGTATTTTCGACTAAAAATTTAGCGAAGTCAACTTAAAATTTGTTTACCAACTTCAGTTAGAGTCAAGTAAAGTTCGGTAGAGTCAACTGTAAAATTGTTGGTTGTCATATATTCAACCTTTTTTTCTTGTGTGAAACGCACACACGTGTTAAATTAAACTTATTTAGGGGTGTAAAAAATATTATTTTTAGATAATTTGGAATCTTCTGCAACATACTTATATAATTATACAACATTTTTTGATCTCGAAGAAAGACATTTTGTTTCCCACCATAAGTAATCATAAGTATTCATTAATTATTGCTAGACATGTTATGTAGAAAACATAAAGTGACTTTTAGCCATGATGATAACTGCTGAGTTTGATAATATAAAAGCACTTATTAATTAGGTACTACTCATTAATTGTATTCGAGATAACTTACAAGTACCTTATTTTGTATTTCTTTTGCAGTTATGCGACATAATCAGACAATCTGCAGAAGGGCATAGACCTCGAGTATTTGTTGTTGAGGTACTGGGAGGTAACTGTGGCTACTTAACTACCATGGCAGGTAATTTTTGTTAAATATTAATCATTAAAAAAATAGAATACGATTTTTTTCGTAGCACTATCATGTGGAGCCGACGCATCATATATCAAGGAAGAAAAATTCAACCTATTAGACATATTACACTGTATTAAAATTTTAGCGGAAAAGTTTTCTACCAAAAAAATAACTAGAGGACTAGTACTCAGGTGCAAAAAAAACAAAAGTGCTTATCAATTTTACCTATTTTAAAAAAAAGCTATTATTATGGTGCTAATAGAAGTCAATTAGCAAACGAAAACTACACGACAGACCTAATCAGTAGAGTGTTGAGTGAAGAAGGAAAGGATTGGTTTACTACTAGGGCAATAACTCTAGGTTAATATATTTTAATTTATAGTCAGTAAATAATAATTCAGTAATAATTATTATTGTTTTTAACTGATATTTAAGGGAATATTGCAACCGGCGGAGTGCCTAGTCCATTTGATCGATCGTTTGCTTTAAAGTTAGGCCAAATGGCCTGTGAGTGGATAAGAAATTTACAAAGTCAATGTTCAGGGAAAGTTATGTCACCCGGTTCAGCAGTGATGATTGGCCTAAAAAAGAGCAGTTATAAGTTTACCTTACTCGATGACATAAAAAATGATTTTCCAACAAGGTAAATAAGTGTAAAATAATTTCTATTTATATATATATAATCACTTATAAATAAAATACGTTTTTATTTGTTTTTATTTTAGTAGGCCGGACGAAACAGCAGATTTATGGTGGTTAAAACTAAGAGCGCTAGGGAAAATGTTTGAAGATCCAAATTACTGGAAACAATTTACTGACGCTTAAAATAAAATAAAAAAATGTTATTTAATAGTTATTTAGGGTGTCAAAAATAATTATATTTCATATGTAAGTATATAAAGAGTAATACAATTAGTCTAATAGAGCTAGAATTTAGTAACGAATCCAAGAGAAGAGTATGAATGAAATGATGATGGATTTCCTCTGAATTTGATTTCCAGATTCACGACTGAATTTGACAATTTTTTAACTACAACATATTTTATTATGTTGTAGTTCCCTAAATTAAAAAATAAGAGTTTTTTTTGTATTTGTGTAACTATACTTAATTCCTTGATTGTTAAACCTAGCTAAAATCGCTCCCGGAATTCACAGCTTATGTAATCACAATCGGTTCAAAATCTATTATAGTGGAAAATGGTAACAAACGAGCATACACGTTGAGGTTTAAAAATAATACACATTATGATTTTTTTGTTTTATAAGAATGTTGTTAATTACGATAGAGATGGGTAATGGGAAATAACCGAAAAATGTACTATAGACAGACGACCAACCCTAATCGTATCATCCTTAATACTCAAACATTTTTTCGATCACATTTAAGCTTTAATAGACCTTTGTTATTCTACCATCTACAGTTTCGCATTAAAGCGTTTATGTGTAAGTGATTTTTTATGCAAAATACAACTTATTTATTCCGTAATTTTACCACTGACTACCAAACAGTTATGAGTAGAGCTCGGGTGTTATAATGTTTATGACTATGCATATTTTTTTAGCACAATCAGAATAATATTTAAGTATGACATAAATTCGATTCACAAAGTCTAGATTTCAAATCTGCAAACTTATTTTGCATATTTTTAACTTTTTGAGCATATACTAACTATATCTAGATTTAGTAGCACATTTGTAATTATATAATATTAAAATTCTTATATTTTAATTATATTATTTTTTTATTAATATATATATATAATATATTTATTATTATATCATTTTCCGTCCAATAGATGAAAATTGACATCTGCTTCAAGTACTTTTTGAAGTAAAAAAAAACAAATGCCTTTCCTAATTTAAGCATAATTTTGAAAATATTGTTGACTATTCCACTAACATCAGCTGGAGCGGAGAGAACTTTTTCAAAACTGAAATTCATAAAACCTATTTACGCAGTACTGTGTCCCAACAACGGCTCACATGTCTGGCTACAATTTGTATCGAAAAAGAACTCTCAGAACAACTGTACTATGAAGAAATAATAAATGAATTTGCTTCCAAAAAAGTTAGAAAAAAAATATATTAACTCTTCGATCTCCTGACCCATTGTAATTTTTACAACGTAATCAATAAAGCAGTCATTTTAATTTGTTGATTCACAATTTTTAAATAAATAAGTTCCGGCTTGTTTTTTTCTTTTTGAGACTAAATTAAATTATGTCATTATTTTATTATTTTTGAAATTAATTATAATAGACAAATTTACTTTATAGATGTATAGGTTAGGCATTTTCTAATCAAGGGTTCTGCTCACAGGATTTTGCATTTTAGGGTACTTCTCAGAATGATTGGCCCCGATCCCGTAAAACCTAGCGCCGGCGCTGCCTCTAACCTCCCCTGTCTCTACTATGCCCCAACCCCACCGTGTATTGAAATATCTATTTCAATAAACCTAGTAAAATTGTGATATGATATTAATGTAGTCTGTAAAATATATGCTCAATATTCATTGGCACCGAGAGTTGTAAAGATAATGGCATACAAATAAGGAGAAAAATAATTCAAATAAGAAGCCAATAGGACTACTTCACGTATGTGAAATAACCATAGATACTTGGGATGTACCCAAGAACTTCCTAGTGTTATTAGGGTGTGTTATTCGTCTTACTATGTATAAAAAGTAAATACAAGTACCTATTCAATATTGTTCACAGTGAATAATTCCACTACACTAAAATGTTCAACCTATAAAAATCACCAAATCTGTTTTAAAATGAAATACATATAATAATGTTGATATTGTGCTATCGATTATAATAAACATTTTCAGCAGTTCCTCACAAGTCACAATGCAATATAACCGGTTTGTGTAGGCATTGTAGTTTATCTGTAATTTATCTTATTTAGTGTACCTTGAGCATGATATAGTTAGAGTAAGTGCCGATGTGGCGTTCCGCGTTTGTAAGAATTCGATATTTACCGTACCGTATTATTTCTAAATTTTAAAAACAAGCCCAAACACTTTTATGTATGAAAATAATATTACGGCGATCACAAAAAATGTAAAAGGTATTCTACTTGTAGCTAGCGTCCACTATCAATTATTATTATTTACAATTGATATTTTTCATAACTGCAATATCTGCAAAAATAAATACGCTTTGATAGTACAAATTTATGTTAAGTATAATATAACGAAGACATGGTCCGTAAACTTGTTTTATTACTATACAAATATAATAAAGAAATGATTTATCTACTAAACCTTTGATCTGTCGATAAAACATGTCTAGCAGTGTTATCGTTTTATATGTACGTTTATAATAGGGAACGACTTACCTAGTAGTTGCTCGCTTAGTACTTACCAAATAAAATTAGATAGACGCCAAATTGTTTTCGCAGTTCTTATTTTTCAAATTGACACTTATTAATTTACAAGTAAGTTATCATATATTTTTTTATGTAAAATTCATAAATGACCATTCGTCACGAGTATGATAAATGTAGGTATTATGTAAATGCATTATTTTATATTCTGTTACACTTGCAACAGATACTTATAAGAGGGCGTTAGAATATTTTCCAAATAAAATTTAATCTGATGCTAAAAAAAGTGTATATTTATTAATACCTTTAAAAATATAACTTGTTTTTGGAAAATCTATTGTCCATCATGATGGTTTATACTTTATTGAAACCAAAAAATAACAAAACAATTTTTTTTACCAAAACCTAATATTCACCTTAATATTTAACATAAAAATAACAAAAACATTGGCATTTTCAAAGTCTACATACTTTATTATTTTCAACATTTCAATTTCCATTTTTGTGTTTTTAAGTAAATCCTCCGTGAAACGAGTAAAACGCATTCTGCATAGTTTTTAAAATAAATAATTAGGAGATCTTTAAAGGAAATTGATTTTTGTGGGGTTAAAACAAATGGTTTCATTTGGTTCATAATAATACTGCAAGTCGATATTACGTCAAATGAATCACCTAATATTGCCCAATATACTCTGATCTTTTTCCACTATTAGGTAACTTTATAGAAACTAATTTTTACTAACTTGGCTACCTTTTCAATTTTGACTACTATCATTTTACACTATTTATATCTCAGCTTCGCATCAACGCTATAATAAATTAAAAGTAAATTACGATGTCCAACTAAAGAAAATGTAATTCAACAGTGTTTAAAGAAGAAAAAAACAAGTTGAACATATCTGCAGCAAGAAAAAGATTAAAATTCATTTTGGAAGAAGGTTGTGATATCATGGTTGACAAAACTCGAGCCAGACATTTACCTGAATGGTTTGACGAAGAATTGTTTATAAGGTAACATTAAGACTAAAATGAATTAAAATTCAATGACTAAAGTATACAAATTAGACAGTAAAATACTAGATAGACAGAACAAAATCATTTTTATTCCTTCTATATTTCTGTAATTTTGACGTGGTTTGGCGACTGGGCACTGGCGTCCACTTAAAGCATAAGCGGCAAAGCTTGAAGTTTAATTCTATTGTTAAAAAAATTGTCACATGAAGTCTCCCTAAATAATAAATTTCGTTTCTTAAAATATGTATTGTATTTGTTTGAGGTAACATAGGTGCAATTATCATTTTAAACTTGGTAAATTTGGATTTATCATTTTTTTCAATATTTAAAAAAAGTTGGTAACGCACTAAAACGATATTGTGACATAATAATATATGCTTTGGGGTAAATATTAATTTTCTTAGTAAATAAGGATCTTTCGCATGTTTCTGAATTTACATGTAAAGTGATAGCAACTAGTGTGATTTTATAAAGTTTAAAAACAAATAATTTACTTATATGTGCCATACATATATGCGGGATGAAGTTGACGAGTAGATTAAGGCGGCAGTGTCTGCGACTAGAATTCGACCACAGACGGCCTAAGTTGTGAAAATTAATAATGAATCTGAAATAGACCAAAACATATCTACTTTCATTCATAGGCGCCATGCGAGTTTTTAGTTGAATTCAAATAACTCCTTTACTGATGTAGCAAATTCTAAAAGCTTTTCTCAAAAATCAATTATTTATTTAAATTATAATGGCATCTTATATTAAATAATAAACTTTTTCTAGTCAATATTTTTGTATACCTGATGAAATATTGTAAATTGCTGGGTGTCACACAAACAAGCCAAAACGACTTAACCAATTTCGATACCTTTTTTATAGAATCCATTACACGTTTACGGACGATAGCTTTCAGTTACCTAACTTAGCTTGTATATATTGTTCGGTTACGTAAACAATAAACATCAGTCATATTATTGATAGTATAATAAAGTAATAATAATACTTAGTTTGAATATCGTCTTTAAATTACAAATAAATTGATAGAAAATCACAACAAAATGTTTAGAAAACAAACCCAATTATTACGCTATTTTGTTGTTTTTATAGTGGACAAAAATGTTACTTGTCGAATATTTATACAGCGTTCATAGTTAATGTCATTGGTTTAATATTGGTGGCATCAATACCTACGGTTATTGATGTAGTGGTGCTCACAAACAAATCAAATACCCCTTTTAAGGCATATAAACGATATACAGATACACTTCAACATGTTTTAAACTGGTACACTTATGACGTGAAAGATATGAAATCAAAGTAAGTACTAAAAAATCCATTCAAGATCCTTAAGTTAAGCTTAAGTCAAGTTAAGTTCCTTAAGTTAACATGAAAATTGCAGTAACCGTATATTTTCAGATTTTACTTAGTACCTAACCATAGTTTTTAGTATTAATTTACAATAAGATTATTAACATAATTAAATAGGTAAACAATCGTTTTTATTAACTCCTGAAGTAGCAACAAAATTCTATATACAAATTGAAACTATAGCTACTTAACTTACTGTTGTCTCATATAAAGATTGGTTAAAACTTAAAAGTATACGTAACTATACTATTTTAGAAAGAAAAAACAGTTTGTTTTTAATGTAATGTATAATTAGGAATAAGATCTAGTTAGTGGAAAATAAACCCTGTTTTTTATAAAACAAGATTGAAAATTTAAGTGACCAAGAATATTATTTAAGTAAAGTTATCTATTGACTTAAATACGTTATAAATATTAAATATACCTTTAAATAAGTCGTGCCCGTTTATAGATGTCAAAAATCGATATCTGTAGTCCACGGACTTCATTGCGCCGCTAGCCAAGCATCTAACAAATGCGGACTCGGTAAAAGGGTAACACAAACAGACATGGCAATATCGCAATTCATTTTTATGGGCTTGATTTTGTTAAAGAAAAAAGAACTGGGTTTTTCCTGCACAGAAAACGATGAAATGGCCATCGTGCACTTATGGCGAACTCTTGGATACTTTTTAGGCATTGATGACAAGTAAGTAGGTAATGATAATACTACTCTTTATTTTTTGCTTTAATAATTTCCTAGTTCCTACTATCGGTTTAGATTCAACCTTTGCCAAGGCACTCTGGAAGAAGTACGGGACCTTTGTGCAGTAGTATTGAGTGACGTGTACACACCTAGTCTATCGCTACCACCCAAGGATTTTGATTGTATAGTTGAAGCAATGATCGAAGGTTTTAAACCAGTTTTGCCAATAATCGACTTAAAAGCAATCATGAGATATACGAGAGAATTATGTTATCTACCAACAAAACCGTTGACCAGCTATAAAAGTAGATGGCTTTACAATGTTCAAGAATTAATACACAACACGCTTCTTACCAAGCAATGGTTAGCGTGGGCATGCAGACCTATTCTAAACTATCTTTTAAGGATATCTGTTTGGATTAACATGAATTTCCCGGTGATCGCGGCAATAAAATTCGGTACAAGAGCTTTTCACGATATTGAAGAACCACATAATCATATTAACTAGTCAGTACACCGCATTTTATTAAAAAAGAAATGTGGCCTCTAATTGGCCGATATGGCGATGAAACTATTAATTTTTAGAAGAAAACAAGAATATGAAGGCACTTTAATTAAATATCATTAACGTTACATAGGTATACTAATTTCCTTTGTCTTGCTTTTTATAATTTAATACTATATCTTAATTTAAAAAATTAAAAACTATGAAAATAATACAATAATAATTTTTAATATTATTCAAATACGTCCTTGTACTTTTTGCTTATTAAACGCCTATAAATAATTAATTGTTGTTAAATTTGTATAATTTTAATATTATTTGACATTTGATAATAGTGATTACAAACCACTTTATTATGTGTGTTATAGGCAAAGCGGAGGGGGGAGTGCTTATAATGTTTCTTTAGCACCTTTAAATGTTTCGTGTTTCTGACACTTTAAACGCTTAACCTCATAAATTTATACTTTATAAGTAAACCGTTGTCGACAATAACACCAAGTATTAGTGGGAAGTTACATAAGAAAAACGGTATGCACAAAACTTATTTTTCCTTAACACTGTGTATCGATTATTATTATTTTTTATTACTTTTATGAATCATCGTATGGCTTATTTTGATCGGGAGTAGACATAAAAGGCTCAAGTTCGGTCGTCCTAAAAGGGGATGGAAGTTCTTTCTTAAGTCAGTCGTCTCCATAGACAGTGAGAACAAACACACTGTCTCCTTCGTCTTAACTCTTAGCTACTCGTTCTCAAATTGTAGCGATAAAAAATTATATTACATTTTATGCAACATTCAAGAAAAGCATATGTAAGTACAAATCAACGATAAAAAAAATTTAAATTTAAAATTTAAGTATCCGTGCATCTTGGGTATAGACATTTTGAAATCTCTTGTGCATGAAAGAGTTAAAGTAGTTACACAAAGGGTCAAAAGTTAAAATTCAGTAAAGACATACATAAATAACAATGCTCTGAATTACAATAACAATATTCTACGTACCTACTGAAATAGCGGCTGTAGACATTGTGGATTTTTCGTTAATTATAGTTACTATATTACCAATAAATTAGACATTTAAGATTAAAAAAACCACTTTAAAAAAATTAATTGCTTCAAGTGTTGTTAACTGAACTCTTTGTAAAACTGCATAACTTAACCAATAAACTATACAGTTTGTCAGTTTACTTTGAACAAAAATTAAGCAAAATAGTCTCGTCCTATATCCGATATGAAATAGAAATATAGAATGTTATAATACAAATTTAATAAGTACAATTAGACACCAACTGATACAATATAAGGTATAAGTTATAATTAAAAGACTTTTAATGTTATCACTACCATGGTTTTAGTAACTCATTTTGAGAGTAACCTGACATACCATAATGTATATACCATATTATACCTATAATAAATAAATTTTAAATAAAATTATAGCTATAATGTTATATAGTATTACACTAATTCTAATAATTTATTTGACGTTTAATTTTAAGTGCATCTGTGCGAATTTAACGTAAGTTATTGTTCTATAAATTCTGTTACAGTTTTATTTAATTAATTTTTGTTATGTACTTATTAGTTATAGAACTTTTAACAATAACAAATGAAAAATTCAAAATTTAAGAAAAGTTTAAAATAACACCTAGTATGTCTCTACTAGAATAATGTTTTGTGATTATCCGACTCTAATAATATGAAGGGTTATAACTTATAAGTCTAAGCATCTTCTAAAACTATTATTTACATTTTTAGTTCTATAATAATATAGTGTACATCATTTTATTTTAGCTAATATGGCTACTGGTATCATGCGACTTAAAATAAATTCAATTAGCGTAGGAACAACCAATTTTATCCTAATTGGTATTATTATTGCAAAACAGAATCCGAGGCTTGTAATTTCCAAAAAAGGTGAGCCAACTTAACTCATAATCAGTACTTAAGTCATTTTTTTAGACTAGTTTTAAATGGTTTCAACTTTATATAACTAATCAACAATTTTATTAAGCCATTATTCATATCAATAAATTTAACACACCCCCCCCCCCTCTAATAATAAATGAATTAGATACAAACAGCAGCTTGCAAATGACAAAACTTACACCTTTTATTATTCGCTTTAGGAAGTTGTTAAAAACAAATTTAAATAGTCCTAAAATAGGTACTTATTGTCTCCTATCAGCCGGTGTACCTACCTACACAAATGAGAAGCAACGTCATGTAACAGGAAAAAACACGTGCAATTTATTAAAGTTTTTCATTAACTTAATTATTTTAATTTTTCTTTATAGATAATACAACTTGGTACGTTTTTACATTTACCTTGCGAGATTCTCCTGAAGGTTTCCTAAATGTGACTGCGTGGGGTTCTTTTGAATACATTAATAAAATAAATGCGACATTCAAAATCGGAGATGTCGGTAGGTACTTTTATATAAGTCATTTAGTCATTTAGTTCATTACCTTTGTCACTCATAATGAATTGTATAACAATAAGCATGTACATAGTTACACTAATAAATTATAAATAAAATAGATAGAGATGGACTCGAGAACCCTGTGAATAATTTTCTAAACTTTACTAGATTAATCAATCAAACTGTTTTTTTTTATAAAAAAATTATTGTAATAGGTCTTATGTTTTTTTTAGTTGACATAGTTAATGCAAAAATTTCTTTTAGAAAAAACGAAGGTGCAATTAATCAATTTACACCATCAGTAACAAGGTGAGTGATTAAAATATGCCCATAATATTTTAAATAGGTAGGTGAAGCCATGAATTTTTGTTTGAAATCTTTTTTAAACTTAAACTTAGTTATCGTAAATACAAAAAAATATCGTCAAAATAATAAAATGCATTAAAAGAAAATAACGGCATCGTACTTATGGACAGTATTGTAATCAAAAGCATACCTACAGCATTTTGCTAGTTTCTCTCAAATGATTGTTGGAAAATTATACGCCTATAAAATACAGTTATAGCATTAAGTATGATTTTAGTATTAAAATTAAAAAAATAAATTTGAAAATGTACACTATTTACACTCCCACTTGAATAGATTGCTGATTGACTAGTCTGTCAACGTTTCGGAATAAGTACTTGCACAGCCTTGAGGATGCAATGTGCAAGTTTTACGAAACCAGTCAATCTATTCAAGTGGAAGTAACCGCAAGATATGTAAATAGTGTAAATACAATACCCCACTATGAATATAAAATCAAATAAATTAAAACCAAACTTAAATAAAAAATAGACACGTTTTTGATATTCCTAAAAATTCTATATTTTTGAATTGATAACTTTTTCACAAAAACCGTTTAATAGTTTAGTACCTAAACATCTCTAGTCAGGATATATTTAGCTAAGAACCGATGCAAGTGATTTCCCTCGTAACACCGCAGGGTAGGTAATACCCAGTCTGTAGCTACGATAAAGTTTTAGAGAATGGCGGTATCTTCCTTTTGGTATGTTTTCTAGCTGTTTAGGTTTAACGCTCTATCAAAATGGATCTCAAATATCTAAACATGACCAAAACGATTGCAAACTGTATCAATATCTTTTGAGACTGCCCACGCGCTCGCCTAATAGCTGTTTAGTTATTGCCGACATTCATTCCCATGGCAAGATTTTGTGCGGAAAATACTGCTGTCTAATGGTAGCAGTAAGACAAGTAAGTATAAATCCGTTGCAAATTTATTCACTGTATACCTACTGTAAAGACTACCTATAATGTACTGTTCCTACAAGCTACATTGCACATACTATTAACTACTACTCAATTACCTTAATAGTTAAAAATGGTCTTTATGTTTAAGGTGAACAATGCTAAATGTATAAAGAGCAAAACTGGCGTGGAATGTAATTTGAGAGAAATCACAGTAATGGACAAAACGCACTCATCTTTAATTTTGCTGATTTGGAACGACGAACTGGTGAAAAGTGCTAGCCAATGGATTCCCAGGGAGACTAGTTAATTATTGTTTTAACAAATTTCTCTTTTTAAACATTTTTTTTTTTTTGTTATTTACCAAATAATAAATGGCTATGCTTTGGTTTTAATATAGAATTGCAGTTAACTTCGATCTTTAGCCTCGATGCGGAGCTCAGAATGTATTAGTTATAAGTGGAAAGGAAGGTGTTTTTTCAACTCCAAATTTAACTGTAACTTTTTAAAAAAATAGTCGAATTACTTCCAAATTTGTAGAGTATTTTCTTGAGGTACAATACCAATATGCAGTGAAAACTGTGAACCAAAAAAATATCGTTAGCACTTACTTGCAGAAGGGGTAGAAACTTTTTCTTTATCTCATATTTTTAAATTTAATAAAAATTAAAAAATGTTAGTCAAAGCTTTTTTTTTTAGAAGTGAAACAAAAAAAAAAATTAAATTCAGCGATTATAAGCATATGCATTGGTAATACACCTATTTATACTTAATTATTTTTACCATCTAGATTTTCGCATCGAAGCTTTTATTTCATAGTAATTTTATCGATGACCACTGTCAGTTATAATTATTTCTAAAAACTTGTGACCTTCCAGATTCCACTATTCTCTAACCTCGCTGTTTTTTTAATTTTTTATATAAAACATTTATTAAAACAAATATTGGTAATTATTTTTTTCTTATAGTTCTATTTTTAGCTGATGTGCGTCTGGACTGGAGTGAATTTAAAGAAAATATGATAGCCATAGTGACTGGCAAGACAATAATTACCGAAAACCCATGCACAAAAGAGGCAGAGGCTCTCAGAAATTTTTCTGAATTATGTTCGATCGGTCCAATAACAACTATTAATACTACATTTGTAGTTCCTGATGGTAATATTAGCAATATCAAACTTAACATTAATATTCCTTGCAGGTTTTTCAGTGATAATTATCCATGTTATTTTGTTGAACGGCAAATTCTAGTGTTTAACATTGGCAATAAAACTTGCCCAAAGCATCAGATTTGCAACGAAAACAAAATAGATATCACATAAAAATCTAAAATTAACGTTGGTTCAAGAACACATAAAAATCTGTATAACATTAATTATTTATAAAAATAGTGGAGACTATAGTGAACATAATGTCTTGCAAAAATATCAAGAAAACGTGCAATATACAAGGTATGCAAGAATTCACCGCTCTTGTATATGCAGTTATAAGCAAATTTGATATCGATGGATTAACCTCTTTTGTCTATACAAAATGGTAAAACAAAATGGGAAAATAATTTAATTTAGCTAATAGAATACTAAAGCTGTACCTTAATTAAATTAAACAGTAATTTATGTGGCTCACGAGTAAACAATGATTTCAAAACATGTTTAAATTTTGAATGTATTTCTAATATGCCAGTGGGGCACGGTGTAGAAGACCTTCGATGTGTGTTAAACATCCGAATGTCATTAACAGACTCCTCTGGTACTTTAGAAAATTGTCAAGTAAGCGATCATACTGCAACAAAATTACTAGGATCAGTAAGTTGTTACATTTTCCCATAATTAATATGATAAGCGGCAGTACGATTCGTTCAATTATGTTAATTAAAATTAACTTTAACTACTAGGTAGAAGATTTCCTGAGTATGAGTTCAACACAAAAGACTGAAATCAAATGGAAATATCTATTCACTAACTGTGCTGTCAAACTAGTAATTCCTAAATATCAACCAAAAAAAAAGCTAATTATTTCTATAGTTGACATCAGAAATGAAGGGAATATTTTTCAGTACATATCAGATATGCCTCTTTTTTAATTTAATATTAAACACATCATTTTTTAATTACTACAAAAGTTAATTAATTTTTTGTTTTCCTACATAAAATATTTCATTTTACTTTTAATTTGCATAGTAATACACTTAATGTTTTACTACACAATATTGTCATAAATTTCAATGAAATGCAAATGTACAAGTCATCTTTATTCAACATATTTAAGAAATTATATATATTTTATTTAACTTAACAAAATTTATCTTAACTTATTGTTACTGAAAATGTATTCCTTCCTTGTTGAATGCAAGAAGCAATCTAAAATACACAAATTATATTTAAATATAATTCCAAAAAAAAAATATTTTTTTTAAGATAAAATAAGAGTTGTACTTACTCTATAAACTCATCAATGTCCATTTTCCTTGCTCTTTTTTCACAAAAATCATTAGTGTTCAAAACTTCATCTAACTTTTGTTTAATATCAAAATCTGTTGGTATTTCCTAAAATAAAAAATAATTTATTTTATTTCCTATTAAATATGTTTTATATTTTTATTATGACAGTAGTATTCATGACACTTTGATGAACTATAGCCAGCTAGTTATTTTTTCCATAAGAAAGAACTGAAAAATTTATAATTTTGAAAATTCAGTATTACATATTTCTTTATACTTATCAAATATTTAATATACAAATATTAGATAAAACTGTGTTTTTTTTACTATAGCGCTCTTTTATAAGAAATCCTTCCAATTCACGTATACACTAGGCGGGACATAAGTACGCAAGCTGTTTTTTTGCTATCTACCCTAACCGGTCTCAAGATAAAAACAAGACTAAAATAAACTAACCATATTTTTCAAGGAACAATAAATTCTGTAGTTTTTCTCTAAAGTCACAGCAACAGCATTTTGTTTAAAAATCGCTCCTAGAGTCTTGTTTTTTCTGGAAAATGCTATCCTAGTTAAGCCGTCCCATTCTTTAAAGTTGATTGGCGGCGGAGGATTACGAGGTTCAATTCGTACAACATTTGATTCCACTTTTGGCGGAGGTCTAAAATTATTTTTACCAACCTAAAATAATAATAACATAATCAAAATTAATATTAAAGTTAAAACTTTACAACATTATTTTACATACTTTCATAAGAAGATCAACCCTAGCCAATAATTGTGTATTAATTGATAGTCGACAGTACAATTTATCTCCAGGTTTTGCAACTAATCGGTATGCAAATTCTCTTTGAAACATTAAAACAGCACATCGAAAAAATGGCCTACATACAAATAATAGTTATTTAAAATTATTAATTAACCTTCATGCGCTCGCGCGGACGGCAAACTGGCCGTCCTTATAAATTTTTTCAAATATTATTGTGCAAAGTGCCAAGGAAACGGTAAGAAGGGTATGTATTCTCTAGTTATACATCTCTCCGATAGAATATGATCGAACTTGGTCAAACCAGTCCACTCCAGCAGTTCAGTATAGCCACAAACTCAGTAGTGTCAGTATGACGGCCAACTTGCCGTCCACGCGAGCGAAAACGAGAATTTTTGCCTGTATTTTTTATACTTACGATCTGGATTTATATTATGAAAAAGGAGCCATATAGGAAAGGCAAGTGTCAATAGAAATTACAAGAACCTTTTACCACTCCCTTGATGCTCTGAAGAAAATTTTTCTCGAAAATTTAAAAGGACGGCCAATTTGCCGTCCATGCGAGTGGATGAAGGATATTTCTATTATTTTTGAAATAAACATTTTTGGTCAACATTTTTTATGTTCTAATGTTGTGTTAGAGGTAATTGACTCTAAATATTTCGAAACATCCACCTTAAATAAAGAATAACTCACGAAAATGATAAAAAAATAAGGACGGCGGTGCAGCGAGCAGCAGTGTAACTTTAGGAGGCGCGAGCACATGAAGGTTAATAATTAATTCAAATTTTACTAGACTAAATTTTAGACTATATGTATTTTATAAAATTGTTAAGAGGTACTAAATTTATTACCTATGTAAAAGTAATTTGAAGACCAGAGGTGAAGATATTTGATACGGTATGTTAGCAACACAAACATTGAAAAACGGCAATTCAGATTTGAGTACATCTCCAACACGTATTTGCAATTTATTTTGATAAGGAGTGTTCATAACACGTTTTTTCAACTCTGCCACTAAACTATAAAAAATAACGGTCAGTATAAGTAAATTATAGTTGATTGTTCAAGATTACATTATTTTTGGATATTAATTCACATGACTATTAGTTTCTAATATATTTATATTTGAAATACCTAAGACTGTATGAAGTTTTCCATAAGCTTTGAGAAAATGCAAAAATGTTAATCTCACATTGTTGTGTTCTACCAAATTTAAACTTGCAAAGCTCTTTTAACAAAAAAAATATGTTCCTCTATATTTATTTTTATTAAACCTTCAATTAGAGTGAGCAGACTTTTTATTTCTTATCACTGTAAAGTGATTTATATTCGTTAATAAAAAATTACGAAAAATGGTCAAAACAGGCTGTTAAACCCTCATTAGTCGAGTGGTAAGATATTCTTTCAAGGTTGTTATAATTTTATTAACCACTTACAAATGTTAGCATAATGTTAAGTTTTAGAGAAAAATTACCTATACAATGTGTCGTAATAAATGCTAATCTAGAGGCATCTTAATATTTTTTTGGTAAGAGGTAAGAGTGAGAGCAATTCCCTATATTCAACCAAACTACTCCTATTTTCGATTTTTTTTTTTTGGGTAGAATTAGTATTAATTTCTTTTGACTAAGTGATAAAACAGCACATAATAGTATGATAGCGGATTATAATCAACAAAAGTGACCAAAATGTACAAACCCATTAATACCTAACCTGTAGAATACACATACAAATAAATATTGTCATTAAAAAACAAATAACCATTGAAATCTAGTAAGTTTAGCTAATTATTAAGTGACAAATATCATACCGAACATCAATTTCACAAGAAATAACTGTTTTGACACGTTCCAATAACTTGATAGTTAAATTTCCAGTTCCAGGACCTATCTCAAGTACAGTATCAGTAGGTAATAAACCTGACTTGTCTACCATTCCTTGAACAATCAACGGATTTTTCAATATGTGTTGTCCGAAGTCTTTTTTAAACATAATTCCTAAACATTTATTAAATAATGCAATTAGGTATAAAACATATTTTTCTTTTGACTCATTCACTATATAATAATAAAAACAAGTTAGATTTTACCTTGTTTGCCATATTCGCTTGGCCCTTTTTCTTTCTTTACTTTAGGCATTGTAAACTATAATTATTTGAACCAATTTCCTGGTAATTAAATAGGTAATTACAGTGCAGGTGAATACTGAATATGCCTCGAATGAGTAGTAACTAGTAACTACTCAGTACCCACTATTTAGTATTCAATACTCAATAATGAAACACGTGAATCGTGATATTTACATTTGGTAGTGATAAAACGGTGTTATCACAGAAGTCAATCACATTACCGATGATAACATACCAATCATCAAAACACAGAATAACCAGAAGGGAATTTTCGAGTCGTATACCTTAGATTCTTTCAGTACAGGTTGCTTTAACGATCATAAGACAATTATTCATCATCTTCATGCTAATGTACCATTATCAGCTAAGGACTCAAATAACCAAGTTTGTTGTGACTTGTGAAAAGTTTCACTATTTGGTAATTAAAACGATCTTTTAACAGCCAGTATCATAGGTAAATGATATGAATAACAAACAACATGTTTTAAATTTATCTATTTGTTTGAATACTTATTTAATTATTTTGTAAAGTTTTATTTACTTAACTTATATCCTAACTCCAAATGAATTTCATTAATTTTAATGTGGCTATATCTTTATATATATCAAATGATCTTACTCGTATGAATTTCTTTTAAATTATTGAAAAATTGTACTATTCTAAATTTATTTAACCTAAATTAATTTTAATATTACTAAGTACTTATAAAAATAAAGTTATACCTTATTTCCTTTTTTTATACAAAATTTCATTCAATCACATTTAATAATTTTGTAGTTGTAACTCATGTAGGCTGTCTCTGTGGCCTAACTACTATCGGACATCGGTGCAGGGGGGCAGCTGCTTCCAGACACATTCTATTTTAGGGCATACGGTATTTTACGGTTTACACTTTACTATAAAAGTTAACATGTAATATAGGGCGCTAAAAAAATGTCTTGCACATGGACGCTTTTGTCTCCAGTTACACTACTGGCCTGCCTATATCATTATGAGTTATGTATTTTGCACTAATAGGTGAATAATAGATCTTAAGTAAATTAATAGAAAATAATAATAGAAATTAATAATAAAAATATACATGGCTAAACTTTAAATCAATATATTTATATAAATATTCTGTTGTAACATTATAAATATTACCCGTTGTTTTTAGTTATGTTAACATTATAACTTTTCATAATTCTTTTTGATTTTCAAAGTTAAGTTTTGTTTTAAAATTTATAAAATAATAGTGATAGATAATTCAAAAACAAATGTTTAAAAATGAATAGGTATAAGCTATAATCACATGAATAATTACTATGCAATAAACAATAAATTTATAACAGTTAAATAAATGAATGAATCAATCATAAATAAATCAATAAATAATTTTAAAATTTAAAAAATCAAACATGACAAAAAATAAGTTAAAAATCAAACAATAATTATAATAAATATATAAATAATTTAGCGCTATATCAAAAAAGCATACAATAATTTCATCTCAAAAAATAAGTTTTTACTATACAACAATAATAAATCTGAGCAACAATTTACAAATAAATAATTTTAAAACAACTTTTTTTTATTATTTTTTTTTTTTTTTTTTATAAAAAACTGTTAGTATCAAAATAAATTAGTTACATATGAACCAAACTTACCAAAACTCTGAAGGTAGCAGACCAATTGGTTCAGAAATAGATCTAGACTCTAAACATTTCATTACCATGTTTTTTAAGCGAGTAACAGGACCGCCGCAGCCAGGAGGTGTAATAAGTTGGATTTTGTTTATGTAGTTGTTGTTCATATACTGTAACAATTTCATAAACTGGTTTTTGTATGTTTGGTGCATTGCAAATCCAGCGATTTGTAAAAATTCAACTAATAGTGTAGGTGTAATGTCAACTATCGGATTTTTGTTTAATACACCCGCTACTAGAGTCCATGCATGGGCTAGACCTAGTACTGGTTGGTCACACCTCAATGAAGAAATTATTAGAGCTGCGTACAGTCGTATTATGCCAGTCATACGCTTCAGATATTTTTCTTGATTTTCAATATTTCCGGCCAAATCAACTTTGTACCCAAGTAATTGATAGTTTAACTGTTCGAAATTAGCGATTTTCATTGCACGGCAACAAAATGGTACCAATATTGGGCATTTTTGTTTAATTTTTGAGAAAAGAATTTTGCCAAAATCTGAGTGATTAGACCAAAGTTTAACAGCTACAGCTGCCATTTCAAAAGCGGCCTGCGCTTTAACACTTAATACCTCCTCCGCATGACTGATGAATTTTTTTGCCAAAGTATCCATACAAAACAGTTGTGCTTCTTTATTTTGGCCAACCATAACATTTGTGTTAGCCACACATATGAACCTTCCACTTAGTAATGCATTCAACTTGGTATACTTTTCTGTCAGGTGAGCAGGCGAAGAAGATGAAATAGTATTGACTAGAGTGTTGATGACCTTAATTATATTATGTCGTTGTAATTTTGTAGTTGGATCAGTTGCAAATGGTACATTTTCTATTACAATTAAATTTTTTATTAATGCATCATTGTTTTTGACTAAAGCAACAAACTGTCGTTTCACATTTTTTATAACGCTCTTATCGGGAATATTAATAGAAAACTTTCTTAACGGATTTCTTTTATTGTCAATTTTGGTGGAAGTTACTTCCGTTTTTGTTTGATTTGTTTTTACCACATTATTATTAAACAATGTGAGATCATTTAATAGGCTGTAAGTAGCTATTAAAGACGATTCTTCAATAACTTGAACATTTTTTAGAATATTTATCCTAGACTCTAACGATTTATAAGTGTCAATTGATAATTGAAATTGTTTATTTTTTACTTCATTACTCACGTTTTCGAACAGTGATATAGCTTTCTTCATAGTTGCATTATAACAGATTTCTCTGCAACGTTGTTCAGGGTTTACTGTGACAGTTTGCTCGGTTTGAGAATGTTTCTGGATTTGCTCCAGAATGAGTTTGTAGTTTTCTTTCTTGATTAAGATTTCACTGCGTTGAAACTTAGGCTTGAACGAAACATTGTGCTTCTTATTACGTAACATTTCAGTCTTCTTCTTCTGCCATATTTCTACCTTCTTGTTCATTATTTGTTGAACCATTGCCTGGCGCATTGACTCTAATCGCAAACGGGCGAACCATCGCATTTCTCTCAACCATTTATTTTGTCCAGCAGCTTCTACGCCAACGGCGCTCAAATTTGAAGAGAAGTTGTCGACCGGCTCGACATAGTTCTCTTTAAAATAATAACTATTGACGGCGGCGAATTTCTCTTTCACCAATTTCAAATGATTTTCTGCCAAAACTGACATCCATGAGCCATACGGACTACGCTGGTGACTGCTATTTATTTGTTGGCTGCATGAATTCTGCTGTTGCAAATAAACAGCATGGTTGTCCAGATGGTAATTGAAACAAGGCGAATTTGGTGCCATCGCGGTGGCAGTGTATATTGTATAAATGTACCTATATACGAAAATTTTAATATCTGAAACCCGATTTGAGAACTCACGTGTTTTCTTTAAGGGAGAAATATTTTCAACGTCACATTTGGCGGTTAACGGGAACTGTCACGACAATAAACACGCTCGGCGAAGACTGTAACTGAATTAATGTTACCCGTCACCGTTTACTCTATACCATTTATTCCAACTGGTCTACCTAAATAATCTCCAATCAACAGACAACCGCTATTCGCTAAGCATTATTGTTTTGATGATAGTAAAATCCCGTTTACCGATCGCGTACTATGCTATAAATACGATTTTAACTACTAAACTCTATAGAATGGCAAACTGTAATAAATAATAATAATAATAGGTCGATTGAAATATGGGAATCGTTTGAACGCGATGGGAAATTTTGAACAGATAACAATATTAAATATTGTTGTAACTTGTACCGCACACGTAAGGTAATACTAGCTTTGTACAGACGTATAAAAATATTGAGGGTAGGTACCAACACTTAATACAAATTGCAATTTATTACTTAATAGGTAGGTATGGTATGAATGCACAATATAAAATATTATTATGCTCTACATATTGGACTCGGGTGTATTTGTTTTTACTATTGAGTAAAACTAATTTTCATTTCACAATCGAGTTGTGGAAAAAGTAAAAACTTATCGAATTGAATTGTCTACTTACCTAAATTAAGAAACAAAGGCATAAGCTATGTTTATGATTTTTTTAAGAGGGGGGAGGAAAGATGTTTTAGAAAAGGGAAAAAAACATACTTGCACAAACTTTTTCAGTTAGGTATTCCGAATACCTAAATGAAAAAGTTTAATAAGCTAACTACTTATTGAAAACTAGTTGTCGATCAGTAAAAATGTTTAATAGCCTATAGGCAATAGCTATTATATTCAATCAATTTATAGATACCTATAGGTTACCCGTATTTAATTTTTAAAGTACTTATACTACTTAAAAATGTTTAATGAGTGTACAAATTTTATTGTGAATAGTAAAATTGGGTTTATTTATAAAAAAAATTACATGCCCAATGTTTCATACACTATAATTTTACCTACCTAAGTAAAATTTAGTTATTATTTGTTTTTATTTTATTTTAATAAGATCGTTTATTTGTCATTTTCACTACTGTGAAAAAAATATCAACATTTTCTTGTAATATTAACTATAATGTATGTCTTCGTAACTCTAAAATCTAAATAAATAACCGTTATTATTGTTCACATGTGTTCTGTAGATAGATATCCGCACGACTTAAAAAAAATTATTCTTTTTTATTCAATGGACATAATACATTGGGGCGAGAATTGAGATCCTGTTCCGCCAATACTGTTCCTTTCCCTTTTTCGCCCAAAAAGACTGTTCAAAATTTAAAAACTTTAAGCCAAGTGGAAATAATAACAAAGTATAAAAGTAGAACAATTTAAAAAAAAAAGCTAGTACAAATATGGGGTCAGAGCATAGTGGGGATGGAGAGGTCATAGGTCTACAGGAATTATTATAACTGAAAGTGATAAAGTCACTTTTAAATAAATGCTTCGATGCGAATCTGTGGGTAGTATGTATAAACCATACTTAGCAACCTAAAAACTGACTATGGTCAAAGTGTAATTTTTCCCTAATAAAAAAAAATTATTGACTACAGATTTTTGAGGAAATTGTAAATGTTACAGCCCCATTCTAGATCTACATTTGGTGTAATTTTCATACATAAACATTAAAACCCTAAAACTTTGCATGAAAAAGCGAAAGAAAGAAACTCCTTCTAGGAGAATAGGTGTACGATAATTGTTTAGGTTGTCAACGATTGTCGGTAGTATTATGTCTTAAGAATATTCTATACAAATTTGAAAAAATATATGGAGCGCCGTAATTTTAAGTTGAAAAAAATGTAAATTTTTTTGGTATTTTTCTCGATTTTGAAGGGGAAGGGATGAACTTTTTACATTTTTAGTCTTATAAAGTACCTTACAGGTACGATGTCTGATATTGAGAGCTGCTACACGAAGAAATCGTTTCAGTGTAAATCTTGCATCTTTGTTGTAAATCTTAAATGTTATACTATAACTTCAGTTGTTTGAAACATTTTTAAACTATTTTTTTCTTATTTTGCCATGGAAATGGGCTACTTTTACTTAATCCATCGACTAATTTAAATTCAATTTTATTTTTGACGAAAAAGGGAATTTGGCGGAAAATGGACATTTAAGGGTACAATTGGTTAATTGCTAACCAGACACAAATCCAAAAGGGAAGGAGGTGGGTTTAGACTTTAGTCGCTCTCCTGCTTTAATTGTTTCAGCCTTCAGCCTAAACATGCCTAATAACTACCCCAATTCATTGATTCTGTAACTATATAGAAAGGGTTTATATTATACTTCTTGTTAAAAAAATATATTGACATGATTTTTTTTTTATCATTATTTAATTACTTTTTACAGAAAAATATGAAAATGTTATCTGGAAATGTTATATGTTGCTACAAATACCTTATTTAAAAATTAATTTTTAGTACCCACCTATTAATGTTTTATTGGTACATATTTGATTTAGTCTATGCCAGATCACAGATACGCACACGGATGAATGCATACTTTTGCGACTTCAGATAAAGCCCATCAAATATGTTACAGTTAAAAAAAATTGTATAAGCTTAATTTCTGACTAAAAGTAAATATATAGAGAAACTGTTTTGAAATTTAGGTTTCCCGCTAATGGAACAATAATACTTTATTTAGCGGTAAATCTAATTTTTAAAACTGTCTCTCCATGTATTGTCTTTTAGTCAGAAATTAAGCAAATACAACTTTTTAAACGAAATAAAACTGTTAAATACTTGGGATACTACATAATAGTAATATCATTGTATTGTAATTATGTCTATTACATACTCAACGGTTTGACCGATACTCAATATTTTGGGGAAACAAAAAAAAATATTTAATTTAAATGATAAATTATTATATTATTCTCATTTAATACCACATTAATGGAATAGTGTGATCTAGATGATCGTTTTTATATTGATAGTTTTATTCGAATAATGTATAACTCTGGCGACACTGACTACGGCTCACTTTTTAAGAAAATTTGGCTCGAACTAAAGGTTCCGTCCACAATCACTTATTAAATAATAAGACATGTGCACAGAAAATAGTGTGTAGTAGGTTTATTTAATCCAGTTTAAATAACGGTTATAAATTATTTATTTGTTAGAAGTAGTGCTAGGTACGAGCATATTCGTTTAATAAATGCGGTGTTTTATATTATACGGTATTACTCATTTGCTAGTTGTTCGATGACAGAAAATTGCCAACTATAGTATTACCCATTCCTTATTATAATTCGTCGAATTTAATTATGAAATTAAATCAATTCTAGCTAAACGAGCTTATGTACACCACTCACTAGTTGCATTTAAAAACTCATAAACATTAACTGGATTTCATTACTTCTAGTCTGCACTCATTACATTAGTTAAAATGTTCGTGTCTAAGTTATATTACCTTCCTTTTCTTCTTCGCGTTGTAATTTGTACAAATAGTATAACTTCAATTTTACGTATAGTTTGATATACTTACACAACATTTAAATAATTACCTATATAATAACGAATCATATTCACTACATGGTAATTCCTGAATTAAAAGAACAAGGTGAAGTTGATATAATAATATACAATTTATTTTATGTTCTGTACTTACTATTTCATACTAATATTACACTATAGTCCAAAAAATACGTTTGGTAAATGTTTGTATAAATTATTAGCTTCTCCCCTTTATATTTTATAATGCACAACAAATTACTAATTTTAAAGCTAAGGACTGTACAAATAATTTTAGAAGAGCCACGAATATCTTATAAAACATTATTCCTACAACACACGATTTTATTGACTGCCAAGAGTAGACTATTTTTGTGCTGTTGAAATGCGGTTTTTGAAAGATTAATCGTTAGCACTATTTTATTATACAACTGTGCTTTATAAAAACATATTACACGTACTATTTCTCGTGTAAATGGTATAGGAAGGAAAATGTATTGATGCAAAACGTAATATTTCCAAAATAAAATATTATCTTATATTTTAATTTACTGTTATATTTTATTAAATTATATGGTTTAAATATATCTAAAGCGGTCTTTATAATTCATATAGTAACATTATGACAACACAAATTATAAAAAAAAAATATCGTTGGTAACTTTCAAACACTAAAAGTTATTGCCTTCAAAATTGTGATAAGGTTCATATTTTATACCTTATTACATAAAAGATTAGTAATGTTATGATCATTTATTTGTATTTTGTATTACTGAGAAATAAAGAGAAATTTAATTAGGAGATACTAAATAATATAGATTTGTAAGTTACTTGCTTTTCAAATTTTTTTTACAATACATTTTAATAAAAAATGTGTTTTTACTATAATTTATTTGAAATATTTAAACTTATCTAGTTTAAAAAATATAATACAAAACAAAAATAGAATGTTTTGTAAAAATTATAGTCAAAACTTGATATTTCCACTGAAGCAAAATGTACTAATAGTTTAAAATTGTGATTTGTCAAAAATAAATGTCTAAATTCTTACTTATACCAACAACACTTTATTTAAAAATATTTTATCTATTTTTAACACTTTTCACAGCATATATACCTCAAATGTTCCTTGCACAGCAGAAAAAGATCTCTCCTGAAAAGCCGGTAAAACGCCAATAGCTTATAATACTTATTGCATTGTCACCCCACAATTATTAACGACATAATAAATTACACAATTTAATTAAAAGATAACATTTTTGGTGATTTTACAAATGAAATAAAAATATTTATTTAATGAAAATTTCATTACATGATTTTTACCACACTATTTTGATTTTCTAATCCATCTCATGTTTTTAAAAAAAAATTGTTTGCACATACCTTCACCTAAAAACTGCAATATAACTAAATAGTACAAGAAATGATTTATTATTTTTTCCTTTTAATATAAATTATAATAGTTGTCTTTTGTACCATGTGTCATTTTACATCAATCAGGTACTCCAGTAGTACTTCAAATTATGAAAATTAAGTTTTTGTTGGTAATTTTAAAATAAAGAATATGCATTTTCTTTTACAGTAATGTTTTTGAAAATTAATTTTTATAAAGTTCTTACATTTTTTTTAATGAGGTACCTAAATAGATATAAATAAAATTAGGTTTTTCAAAAGGCAAACATTTTAT